TATTTTTTTTTCAAAAATGTACTTAGTGGTACTGAGGATCCAATCCAAAGTAAAATCTTTTAAGACTTAGGTTTTTATTTGTGTGTGTATATGCCACCATATGCAGGTGTCTGCAGAGACCAAAGACTTTAGATCCCCTGGGACTGGGTTAACAGATGTTTGTGAGCTGCCCAATATGGATGCTGGAGACCAAACTTGGGTTCTTAGGAAGTGTTGGAAGCACTCTGAACTACCAGGCCATCTCTCCAGCTCTCCCAGAATTAAAATTAAGAAAATAAAACCCTTTTATTCTATGTATACTCATGTTTTGTCTGCAAGTATGCCTGCGTATCACATACATACAGTGCTTGGAACAGACAAAGGGCAGTCTTGGATCCCTAGGACTGGAGTTACAGGTGGTTGTGATCTGTCTGCCATGTGGGTGCTGGGGTAGACCAGGCTTGGTCTCGAACTCACAGAGATCCACAAGAGCAGTCACTCTCAACGGCTGAGCTGTCTCTCCAGCTGCATTCCTTTTTTATGGGAGGGGCAGTGTCGAGACAGGTTGACAAATGCATACTTGAGTTCTCTTATCTAGTTGGAGCTCCGGTGGTACCAGTATCCATTGGCAGGATGCAAACGAATGCCTGACAGGAGGAAAATGGGAACACACATGTTAGGTTCCATCCCTGTGTTAAAACTGTAGCTACTTCTTTATCTGTTCTTTTTAAATAATACTTTTTTTTCTGTACAGGTATACTCTGGAAATGATCAAATTAGTACCACATAATGAGAGTGCATGGAACTACTTGAAAGGGTAAGAGGCTATTTTTACTGTTTGTTTGTTTTTTTTTCCATAAAAGAACCACTAGGCTGTTGCTAGCAGCATCATGGAATGTGCTCCACAACCAGGTTCTAAAAGAATGCTCAGCGATTCCCTGTGTTGGTATGTCTAATAGTAGAGGCAGAGCATGGCCATGGCAGTCCGCAGGCACACTTGTGCCCTCTGTCTTCCCCCTTCTCACCTCTAGGGACACAGCAGTGGTTTTTAGAAGAGTACACAGGAAATGCCGGTGCATTTTAATTGTATTTACAGCTCCTCTAGTGATTTGCCTTCTAAGTGCTGAAGGCTCCAGAGTTTGTACTCTGTGTACTCCTGTGGGCTCAGTGCAGCAGGGCAGAGTAAACTTGACAAGTTACTCAGATGGGTGGCCAGCCTTTCTACTGCCAACGTCCAGTGACAAGTCTTACTCTTAAAATAAAAAGGTTTCCTAGGCCTGGCCCTTGACATGCCCCGTCACACTTGGAGGTACACCAGGACCTATGATCCCCTAAATAGTGGAAGGTTTGAAGAACCATCTCAAAAAGCAGCAGGGACATCTCTCCTGCTCTTTCTTTCTTTCTAGCTTTAAGAAAGGCTCTTGGGGCTGGAGAGATGGCTCCATGGTTAAGAGCACTGACTGCTCTTCCAGGGGACCTGGATTCCATTCCCAGCACCAACATGGCAGCTCACAATTGTCTGTAACTCCAGGACCCAACACCCTCACACGGACCTACATACAGGCAAAACACCAATAAAACAAAAATAAGTAAATAAAAGAATTCTTTTAATTGTGTGTCAAGCAGTTTAAAGCTTTTTAAAGTGATCTCATTTCTACCAGACTGTTTTCAGGCCATGAAGCTGAAGGTGACCTTGAACTTCTTATTCTCTACCCCACTTTCCAATGTGGAGACTGTAGGCTTGCATCACCATTCCTCTTTATGTGGTGCCTGGGACTGAGCTCAGGGCTTTGTGTATGCTAGGCAAGCACCCTGCCAACTGAGCTACATTCTCAGGACAGCTTATTTTCAATTAATGTCACTCCACTTTAAGTCACCGTCGATAAGGCCCACATAATTTAAAATTCTTTTTTTTTCCCCAGCCTCATTTGTTCCTAACAGATCTTCCCTTGCTTTTGTCTCGGGACTTTCTTTCTCCTTCTGTTTGTGTGTGCTCTTTAAGAATGGAGTTTTGTTTTGTTTTAGGATTTTGCAGGATCGTGGTCTTTCCAAATACCCTAACCTATTAAATCAACTGCTCGATTTACAACCAAGTCACAGTTCCCCCTACCTAATTGCCTTTCTTGTGGATATCTATGAAGATATGCTAGAAAACCAATGTGACAACAAGGAGGACATTCTTAATAAAGCATTAGAGGTGAGTAGTGCCCATCGCCACTGCTGTTGATGCCGCTTTTCACATAGTGTCTCAGACTGTTTCTGGTTCAGGGCAGTACTGCGTCGGTAATGTAACTGTTGTAAGATATCTCATTTGCGTGTGACCTATGCTACATTGCCTTGTGCCCTTGAAGTTGAACTCAACATTTACTCAAATACATTTTTATTTTTCCTTTTCAGTTATGTGAGATCCTAGCTAAAGAAAAGGACACTATAAGAAAGGAATATTGGAGATATATTGGAAGATCCCTTCAGAGTAAACACAGCAGAGAAAGTGACATACCAACGAGTGTATAGCAGAGAGAGCGTCTGGACAAGTGGACGCCGCCTTCTCCCTACGGGCCTCTAACGCAGGAGTGTGAAATTGAGCGACCATGCCTTGCCTGTGCGCTAAAGTTGTTGCCCAGGTGCTGTTTTTAACAAGAACTAAGTATGATACTCCTGTGTGCTGATGCTGTTCAGACTAGCTCTAAGAAATGATTCTTCTAAAGCGAGGTCATTGGAGGGAGGGTGAAGAACTTGCCATAACGGAACCGCTGCTTTTGTAGTCTTACCAACATTTAATCCCGTCCCGTAGAGTCTACTCCTCTGGAAAGGTGTACGTGCAAGGCTTTGTGCTGGTAGTGACTGAAGGTCACTGTGCTATTGATTTGCAGTGACTTCAATCTTGGTGCATTAAACAGGACTGCAACTGTTGAAGAGAGCTGCTCTGCCACACTCACGGTATCTTGCTATCACCGTAACCAACTAATGCCAAAAGAAAAGTTTTATAATAAAATCACATGTATCTATAAACAGTACCGCAGTTGTTTGGTTTTTAACTCTGTACGAGGGACATCGTGTCACAGCTTAGAAAAAACAAGGAACCTAGTGCTTGGGAGGCTGCAAGTTTGAGGCTAGCCTGGACTACATAGAGAGTTTCAGTTCAGAGTGTGATCTTTAAAACAACAACAACCAAAAAAAAAAAAAAACTGAGCAAGAAAATATTGCTCTAAAACTTGTGATTGTGGTGAGGGAATGTGAGCTTGTTAAAATGGAACTTGGTCCATTTTTACTATAAGCAACAAAATCTACTCAAGATAATTTACACAGTGGATTTATTCAACAAAGATAGCTCACAGGGGGGGGGGAGGGCACGGGAGGAAGGGAGGGAATGGGAGAGGGACCTGGAACTGACTTGTGAAGCAACCTTGTTTCTTATCTAAATTTAAACTGGAAAATAAAATTAAAAAAAAAAAAGATAGCTCACAGAGTTGTTGCCTCATCTTCTAGAAGCATATCCCAAACCCATCCTATATAGTAACAACAGTTGTGCTGCCTGAACTGGACTGGGAAACTGCTGTAGGAGGAACCATGGTCCTGGCTGCCGTCTCCAGGTCTATGCCAGCATCTACGAAAGCACGCCTGCTATGTGGCAGCAAATCAAAGACTCGGTTAACTCTTGAGTGGGAAGAAGCTGCACTATAGGTGGAAATGAGCTTCCTCGATTTCCGTCTCTGCCGCTGACTGACTGCTCCTGCTGGAAATCCATAGAGTGGCTCAGCCCGGGTTTGTAGCCCAGCAGCAGTCCGTCAGGGGCTTTCAGCTAATGGATTACTGGGAAGCATTTTCTCCACGTAAATGTGGGAGGGAACTTCAAATACAGAAACTACATCACAGTGTCACTAACACTAACTTTTTTCTTACATCTTCTATCAGTGTGTGTCACCTGTAGATCTCCAAATCTCTAGTTTTATGTTTGAAATTCATCTAAAATAACTTCTCTGCACTTTTCAGCAGCGTCATAGTGAAAACAACAAAACATCCTAGACAGCAGCACTACAACACTAAACACATATCTAAAGCACGGGATTGTTTCTCCACCCTTAGCCATTAGTCACTTTCCTATCACCGTGATAAAAAGCACTGACACAAGAAGCTTAAGGGGGAGGGGTTTGTTACTTAGGTTTGCTCTAACAGTGGGATACAAGCCTTCATTTCAAGGAAGATGTAGCAGCAGGCAGGGGAGGGATGGTACCAGGGACAGAAGACCGGATCCAAGGCTGTATCCATCATCCCTGGCCTGAGTCCTACACACACACACACACACACACACACACACACACACACACACACGCACACAGTCTGAGAGGCAAAATGAACGGGATCCAAGGCTGTATCCATTATCCCTGGCCTGAGTCCTACACACACACACACACACACACACACACACACACACACACACACAGTCTGAGAGGCAAAATGTTGTTTTTAAATCCACATGCTGCACTGTCTTGATTCCAAACCTGGAAAGTAGTAGATCAGTTTAGAAGTAGATGGTACGTATATTTTAAACAAACAACAAATTATGTAGTGTCACCTCTGATTACCATTTCACAACCCCACCCCCCTCGTTTCACATCAGGTACAGATACTTGTGTGACCTGTTGAGATCGCCCAACCTTCACGTTACTTAAATGTCCATCTTGAGGTGTGAACCTGAAATCTGTGAAGTTCAGCTTTGTGACTCAGGTCGAAGCCCCAAAGTCACCTTTACATGCAGTTTTCAAATCCAGAGGCATCAGTACCACTGGGAGCTCGATCTGCGGTGGTGCTGAGAATTTCATTTCATTTGCCTATGCTGCTGTTCTGAGGACCACGGCTTTACAGAGAGTGTAGATCACGAAACAACCCTTGAGGTTTCCAGCCCCACGTTCAACCTGTTTGCTGCATCCTGACATTCACCAGCTGGGAGAGGAGAAGCTAGAACCAGATGCTAGGTGAGAGCGCCTGCGCGGTCGCGGGCGTCCATTGCGCGGCGGGAAGCAGCCACCAGGGGCAGTCTCGCGCTCGCCTCGGCCCGCTTCCGGCCGCGCAGGCGTCGTGGGCTGCAAGCCGGGTTTGGTGGTCGCCAGGTAGGTTCCCGGGAGTGGTGTAGACGGGCCGCGAGTTACGGGGCCTTTTCCAGCTTGGACCTCCGACCCAGCCCTAGGGTGGGATGACGCGGCTCTCACGAGGCTCAGCTGGGCCTTGCCTTGGAGCAGGTGGTGGCCGCGGCCCCTCCAGATGCTTACTGTGCACCCCTCCGGGTGATCAACGTGCATTTCCCCCTCCGGGTCTCTCCGTGCACCCCCTCCGGGAGCCGCCACTGAACTGTGTGAGCTGAGACTGTCCGCGGTGCTCTCCTTTCTCACCCTCTCCCTCCCCTCCTTTGTTAAAAAGCAACATTTAGACGTTTAGGAATTCTGACGCCCCCACCCTTTGCCTGTGCAAACTAAATAACATCCAGAATATTTAAAATAATTATCGGAAAGTGAGATTTAGTCTGAGTTGTACTGGTGTAAAACATTCTGCATATTGGCAGCTCATTTCGTTGCTTGATTTTCTTTGTCTAAGCAGTGAGCATACAGCAGTTGGCCCTTTTTCACCATTATCAAACAGCCGCGGTGTTTAAACAGTGCCAGAGCGTATTCCTTAAAGCTCCAGGCAGCCAGTCTCGGTGCCCGCCCCCTCCAGTGACCACTGGGTTCAAGTCCGCCTAGCTCCTGAGCTTTGCAAGATACTGGAAGAACTGGATTTGAGGCAGCCCTTGCACATACACGGTGTAGCTCTTGGGCGGGCGCCTTCACCTTTGAGCCGGCTCCCTTCTCTGGGATTGTTTTCCATTTGATGTTGTATGATACTGTGTGGACAGTTGGGTTTCGGGGTGATTGCTTTTTGCTGAGGAGAGTCAGAATGTGAGGATTTAGCAACAAGGCTTAAGATACAGTCCATAAGAAACAATGCATTAATGGCTTGCCAAGTAATAAGGGTCAACAGAGACTTGAAAATACGCATTCTAGAGGCTGGAGACATGGCTCAGTGTTTTAGAGCAGTGACTACCCTTCCAGAGGACCTGGGTTCAGTTTCCAGCACTCACATGGCCCACAAATGTCTGTAACTCCAGTTCCAGGGAACACAACAGACATACATGTAGGTCTTTTACCAATGCACATAAAATTAAAAAAATAGTAAATTATTTTTAAAAATGAATAAAAAGAAAATACAAATTCCAGATTCCGGAATTTGTGCCTGCTGTTGTTTTTTTTTTTTTTTTTTTTTTTTTTTGGTTTTTTCGAGTCAGGGTTTCTCTGTGTTGTTTTGGAGCCTGTCCTGGAACTCGCTCGGTAGACCAGGCTGGTCTCGAACTCACAGGGATTCACCTGCCTCTGCCTCCCGAGTGCTGGGATTAAAGGCGTGCGCCACCATCACCCGGCTATGATCAGCTTTTTAAAATGATTTATTTGTCTATTTATTTTTGCCTGCATGTATGTCTGTGTGAGGGCCAGGTCTCCTGGAACTGCAGTTAGAAACAGTTTTAAGCTGCCATGTGGGTGCTGGGAGTTGAAACTGGGTCCTCTGGAAGAGCAGCCAGTGCTCCTAACCCCTGAGCTCTCTCTCCAGCCCCACTATCATCAGCTTTTAAAAGGGAAGGGTCTACTTGGGCTCAGTCTTGGGAGTTCATTCCATAATGGGTCTTTGCTTGGTGGCTTTTGCTATGGCCTGTGGTCAATCTGCACGTGGCAGGAGAGGGCGGCGGTGGACGGGGACACCATAGGAGACAGTGGCAGAGGAGGTGATTCACTTCATGGCATCCTGGAGGCAGAGAGACGCGGTCCTTTCTAGGTTGTGCTGTTACTGACCGAAGCTTCCTTATAGTGGCCTCTACGTTTTTACGGTTCTGCCACTGTCCGGTAGCCCCAACGACTGGAGGCCAAGTCTTTAACGACTGAGCCTTTGGGACCTTACCCACCAAGAGAGTGAAAGTGACTGGGAAGTGGCTGAAGAGTGAGTAGTGGGCGTGGATTTATGGTGAAGCCTCTTCTGCACTCCCACAATCCCACGCAAAACTCTGGAAAGGGGCTGACAACTTCGCATTCCAAAGCATGCATGGAATGTGTGTGTGCCTGTGTGTGTGTGTGTGTGTGTGTGTGTGTTTCCCACGTGTGTCGCGACCTACATTAGGAGGTCAGGGTACAACATGGGTGCCGGTTTGGGCCTTCTTCCTTGTTTAGACGGGATCACTCTGTGGTGTGCCACCGTGGGTCAGGCAGCTGGCCCAGCAGCTTCCTCGAATTCTGTTTCTACCACTCGCCATAGCTCAGGGGGATTGGTTGCAGGTGCATCTGACCTCTCTCGGGCTCTGGGGGTTTATTTCAGCTTGGGTCTGCACACTTTACCCACTGAGCCCTCTGCCCGGTCTGTGTGTGCTCTTTTCTTAGGGAGCTCCCTTCCCTTCCTGGAACTGTGTAAGCTGAAGACTCCGTGAAGCTTGCATCCACCCAGTAGACAGGTGAGATGGGGGTGAAAGAGATTCGGCCCTTAGAAGATGTGGCTATGGTGTTGCTATGGTGAGACTGGATGAGAGAAGAAATGGGTGGATTCGAGGCTCTAGAACTGAGAACAGATTCATGGGCATGGGGAGACCCAGGGAGGACAGCAGGGTGCATGCCAGAGACCATGAGGACACAGAAGTGCCGTGTGACTGGCCAGTCAGTGCCCTTAGGTCCCTGTTCTGTGCCGGGCACGGCAGATGGTAGGGAACCAAACAGAACAGGTGACAAACTGTCGCATCTGCTGCTCGGCCTCTGTCCGAGAACGTGCGGAGGGTGTCGGGGATTGACAACACAGAGACTTGTTCAACGATGTAAAGAAAACTTTAAGCAGGCCCCAAAAAGGTTCAAGAAAACTTCCTAAGAAAGGCTCCCTCCAGAAAAGCTTCTGCTCTCTCCTCTACCCTGGCTGGTTCTGCTCTGACACCAAAAACTGATCTGGGCGTGTCAGAAGAGGCGGTTAGTCTTTGGACAAGGTTGAGGTCAGGGCGGTTTCCGTGGGCAGGCCTTTTCCAGGAACTTATTGCCCTGGGCATTGTATTGTTTTTAGTAAACATGTTTTTAGTAAACATTGTCTTACAGCTGCCTACTCCCAGGCCGAAGGGGAAGTGGGTCTCTGCTCAAGGTCTGGTGTTCCCACAGTAAACATCTTGGAGCACAGTCTACACATCTCCTAAAGGGTTTCCTTGAGCACCAATGAGTGTTTGGGGGCTGGGGTGTAGGACGCTGGGGGAGTCTGGAGCAGCGGACTGTGGCCGTTTCCCAGGGTTCACGCTCCCCTTGGTGTAGGAGTCAGACGCAGGACGCTCCACCACTGCCCACATCCCTGGCCACTCAGGACTCGTCTAAGAGTCTAGACTTGTTCCTCAGGGCACAGAGAGATATTGAATGTTTGTATTCTGGGCAGGATTTTATCTGTGGATTTTATCAAAGAGGGATTCTTCCACATACACACAAGGAAATATGTGCAAAATCTGTTTCACACCAGGGTGGCTGTGAATGTCTGTAATGAGTACAGGAGAGACTTAGGCAAGCGGATGGGATAGTTTGTCTGTCTGCACAGTGAGACTGTCTGGGCCGGGGAGTTATTCATTCATATGCTCCAGTCAACTGAGTAGATAAATCTCAAGCACAATGTGGTGGGCTGGCGAGATGGCTTCGTTGCCATGGGTGCTTGCTGCCAAACCCAGCAACCTGAGTTCAACCCTCATGATCCACATAGTGGAAGGAGAGAACTGACCCCTATAAGTCATTCTCTGACCTCCACATGCGTGCCTTGGCAGGTGTCCTCACTCGTACTCAAGTGAAGAAATACAATTTAAGAAATTAAAACAACAGCATCAATGCTGTACTTAAAAACTGTTAGTTGAAGAGCTGATCTACAGTATACCAGAATTAGCACAATCCCTAGAAGTTACTTGTGGGCCCGGGTTTGTGACCATTAGGACACAGCTTAACTGTGTCCACCAGAGGGCGTCAGGTTTAGCATTCGTCCAGATCATCTGGAGAACTGTAAAAGCTTGTTTTGTTTCTGATCAGCAGGTCTGAAATGAGCACCTGGGAAATGGCTTTTTCTTCCCAAGTTCCCAGGTCTACAGCTGGAGAATGCCAGAGAACAATCGTGAGGCTGGTGACAGCTGGGGATGGGGAGGGCGTCGAAGGTGCTTCAACCCTACGTGTAACATTTCGTTTCTTTCACAAAGGTCAGGCTGCGGGTGCAGTATAGCTTAGTGGAGGGTCAGGCGTGGTGCAAGACGCTGGGTTGGATCCCCAGGGTACCACAACCCCATTAAAAAAACATTTGTCAGGCAGTGGTGGCGCACGCCTTTAATCCCGCCACTCAGGAGGCAGAGGCAGGCGGATCGATGTGAGTTCGAGCCCATCCTGGTCTACAAGAGCTAGTTCCAGGACAGCTCCCAAAGCCACAGAGAAACCCTCTTTTTTTTTTTTTAAATTGAAATAGATCCAGGACAAGTGTAAATTGACAAAAATAAATGGGTGGTCATAGTTTTATTTATTTTTTCCTTCGGAACATTTCGCTAAAGAAGGGAGATCCTGTCTACCGTGTGGAGGATGGATTGGAACAAAGAGAGACCATGCAGGAATCGGCTGTAGAAGCTCAGGTAAGAGGGCTGGTGGCCTGTACCGGGGCAGAGTCAGGAAATGGTAGTGTGTAGGACTGGTCCGGGGAGGGAGGACGTGTGTGACCCGGGTTTGTGATATGAATGAGGAGTAGGTTGTGTCCCCGTGGTGGAGTAGGAGCCCCAGAGAAGGGATATGCTGGGGAAGAAGGGAGTCACCGAAGTCAGACATTGAGCCCACTGAATATTGGGAGAAAGATCCAGGCTGCAGTATAGATTTAAGGATTGTGAGCATTTAGAGGGCTTCCAGAGACACCACATGAGGTGAGGTTACCTTGGCCTGCAACACCCTAGAAGGAATATTATCATGATACCAGGTTTGGCCAACTACAATCCACTGCCTGTTTTTTTTGTTTGTTTGTTTTAAATAACCCTGAACTAAGCAAGCCTTTTATCAGTGAGCTATATTCCCGGCCACTTTTATCCTTGTAGATGTTGGGTAAGAGATAGTTTGTAAGAAAGCACGGGGTTTCTTTTTGTACTCTGCAGGGGCGGCTGCTCTTACAGACTCTGGCAACAGAGTTGAGTGACAGAGACAGAGACAATGCTTGGTATCGTATCACACTCTGTACCTCACGTCAGTGATGAGGTTATCACTTGATTCTCACATTGAGTCCTAGAGGGAAAAAAACCCAAAACAGTTGCAACCCTCTGACCTAAAGTCTAAGTTGAGACACCTGGTCCCTCTAAAGGTTATGCTAGGTTTGCTGGAGAGATGGCTCAGTGGGTGCTTGTCACGCAAGCCTGTTGCATCCCCAGAGCCCACTTAGAGAAGAATCAACTCCACACGCACACTGTAACAGTGCTCGCCCGCCGGCCGGGCGTTGGTGGCGCACGCCTTTAATCCCAGCACTCGGGAGGCAGAGGCAGGCGGATCTCTGTGAGTTCGAGGCCAGCCTGGTCTACAAGAGCTAGTTCCAGGACAGCCTCCAAAGCCACAGAGAAACCCTGTCTCGAAAAACCAAAAAAAAAAAAAAAAAAAAAAACAGTGCTCGCCCGCGCCCACACGTTGTCCACAACAATTGTTGACATAGAGTTCTTTAAGACGCAGCGTGAAAGGGAAGGGACAATGGCCTGGGCAGGAACAGTTGCCATAGCTTTTGTTGAGCCTCTGAAGCTGATCCGAGGGCTTCAAGTCCCTGTGGAGAGAGGGACAAGTGACCTGAATCTGCGTCCTGCTGGAGCCAGCTGGGGAGACCCCAGACAATGGGGTGAACGGGCAAGATGGCCTCTACGTGGCCTCTGAATGAAACCAAAGTTTCCTGAGCACGTCCTGGTGACAGCAGGAATAAACTGAACTGTCAGTGCTAACAGCCGTGTTGCTGTGGACAACACTTCACCCTTGTCCTCATTGGCTTAGAAACAGGAAGGGGAGGTTCCTTATTCACTGACAGGAACTGTGTAAAAGGAATAGATTTGGAGGACAAGACTTGAAGCTGACTTTGGGAGATGTTTTTACAGTTAGTTTGTTGTTTTTGTTTGTTTGTTTGGGTTTTCGAGATAAGGTTTCTCTGTGGCTTTGGAGGCTGTCCTGGAACTGCCTCTGTAGACCAGGCTGGCCTTGAACTCACAAAGATCCACCGTCTTGGCCTCCCGAGTGCTGGGATTAAAGGCATGCGCCACCAACGCCCGGCTACAGTTCTATTTTATTTTGCTCCTGTGGGGATTTTGCCTGCATGTATGTCTGTGCACTGCGTGAATGCAGTACCTCCACAGGCCAGAAGACGCCATCAGATCTCCTGGGATGGAGTTACAGAGGTTGTGAGCTTCCATGTGGGAACAAGCACGACACTGAGGGACCCACGCTTGTGGATGGACACCCGGCTGGGAGAAGGCTGGGAGAAGGAAGAGACCCCTGCAGGGAGCATTGTCAGTGCTGATTCGGTCACCATGGTTTCCAGTCTAACGGTCACCTTGGAACATCTCTGTCCTGCACTTTGAGGGGCAAGCATCCTTTGCTCCAGAGTCCATCCCAGGTCTGTCCCCTTCTGGGTCCTTCCGCCGTGGCCCTGGATTGTTTGGGTCCCTACTGCCAGTGTCTCCTAAGTCATCTCTCTGGAACATCATGCCACCATTATTCTCACTCACAAGTTTGTCAACTCTTACTCCAGATTATCTCCAGGGCCTCCTAGCTAATATCTGCACCAAGCCTCCTGTGCACCCACTGAAGAGTTACCTTCGCCTCTTCATTGGGCCATCACTCGAGGCTAGGGTGCTCAGCTAGCTTAACCGAGGCCCTGCGTTCAGTCTTCCTAACCACAAAGAAAGAAAGCCTAAATGTTTTGTTGCTGCTGTGTTTGGGGTTCAAGCCTGGGGTCTTGACCATGCTGGAAGCTCCCTGAGCTGAGTCACCAGCTTGTTCTGGGGCTCTTGGGTCCCTTCCAAGGAGCACCCTAGCTTCTCAGCTCCAGGAGACCCCTGTCTGTTTACTACACCAACTAAGCCTCTTTGTCCATCTTCTATCCCGATCCACGTATACACATTTACACTTAGGGTAAGCTCCTGTGGGCGAAAAGTCTCAGACATTTGAGCTTGTAATGAGGAATGTTTGTCAGAGCAGCTCACACTGCAGTTTGTGGAAGCCTTCAAGTGACACTGATGCTGACTGAGTGGGGGTGACCGCCCTCAGCCCACTAGTGGCACCTCATGGAAACTGACAGACAATGGTGCTTCTCCCTGTCTCGTGTTCTGTTCTAGGCACTGACATGGGACAACATGGAAACAGGAAAGGTCCCAGCCACAGAGAAGTCCCCCGGGGCGTTGGGCTGCTGCTCGCCGTGGCCCTTATGAATCTGCTTCTTTACCTCTGCGTGGACCAGGTTTTCATTTCTCCTCGATCGACCGAGGATGCTAGGCGCTGCCCTCATGGCTACTTCAGAATGGGGCGGATGAGAAACTGCTCACGCTGGCTGTCCTGTGAGGAGCTGAGGACAGAAGTGAGGCAGCTGAGGCGCATTGGGGAAGGAGCCGTGAAGAGAGTGAGTGTCCGTGTCTCTGCTGTCCTCACTGCCATCTCGGGGGAGAGCAATTTGTTTGGCACCAGCTGCCATGGTGCTTGCTGTAGCTGGGAGTCTAAGGCAAGAAGATTGCTTGAGGCTGGGTGGTGGTGACGCATGTCTCTAATTCCAGCACTTGGGAGGCAGAGGAAGGTGAATCTCTGAGTTTGAGTGCAGCCTGGTCTACAGATTGAGTTCCAGGGCAGCCAGGACTATACACAGAAACCCTGTCTTGAAAAACCAAACAAAAGAAGAAGATTGCTTGGGGTAGGGACTTTGAGGCCAATCTGGGCAACATTGTGGAATACTGGCTTAAAATCAAACAAAAGAAAAAAGAGCCACAAAACCCCTGTTGTAATTTAAGAAAAGCAGTGTTAGAGAGAAAGACGCCATGTGACAGGGTTCAAGCAAAGGGGTTTTTGTTTGTTTGTTTTGGGGGGGTTGTTATTAAGGAAAGGGGCTGTAAGAAGGGGAAAGGGAAGCGGGGAGACTAGCCTCTGGAGACAGGATCAGCAGGAGAGAGGAGAGAGGAAGAAAGGGGGGCAGGAACAGATAGAGAGGGAGAGAGAAGGATGGGAGGTGGGCAGGGCCCTTTTAAAAGGGAACATAGTGAATGTGCATAGGTGATGCTCTTAGTGGCTGCAGCTGAGGGCATATCCTGTTAGAACCCCAAGGACAGGCCAGCACAGATGCCTGAATGCTAACACCTGTGTTTCTGTCCTTGAGCCCAGGAGTCTCAGATCTGGAACTGTGCTATAGTGAAACCATCTGGAGGAAGGGAGACAGGTGTCCGCAAGAGTACTATAGGATAGGAGATAGGAGATGGGAACACTTTCAGGAGACAGGCTGGGGATGTAGCTTAGTTAGAAGAGTGCTTGCTTCAAGGACTTCAAAGCCAGCCTGTGCTATATGAGGCCTTGTCTCAAAAACAACAACAACAACAACAAAATACACACACACACACACACACACACACATTTTTGGAAGCTTAGTTAACCTTGTAGCCATTACATGTAGATAGGAACTCCAATTAGTATCAGGAAAAAAAGTAAAAGTAAGAAAGAAAAGTGTTCCTAGTTGTAGAGCACACTGTTTTCAATTGCAAAGTTACATAGTTACAAAAGAAATGAGAGACAGTTACAGAGTTAAAGAGCGCTCTATGCTTTCAGCCCAGCACCGGCACTGCAGGCCTTAGTGTGCCATTCCTGCTCTGAGACAAACATTTCTTCAAATACTCACCCGTGGTCTGAGCTAATGGTCTTATTCTGAGTTAAGAAGACAGAAGGCTCGGCACACAGCGTCCTCTTCCTTGTGAGGTCCGTGTACCTCCCCACGCGCATCACCCTAACTCCCACGACTTTGCTTACAGAACGATCCCCTCCCAGGATCACCAGCCTTTCCCATCCATCCTTCATTCCCGTCCTATAAAAACAAGCGCGCTTTACAGAAAGAAACTCCGGTTTCTCGATTGCCAGGTCCTCTGTAGCTGCCACTCTGCTTCTCTGATGAGAAAGCTCATTCACAACCCACACCTCCCGCGTCTTCATCCTCTCCCAGTGCGACCTCCAGACACCAGGAAACCACCTTTTGTTTTTCCAATGTCCAGCTTACTGCAAGTTGAATATTGCTTTCCTCTTAGTCCCTTCATCAACCGCGGACATGGTGCTTCTTGCCCTTAGTCTGGCTTTCTAGGATAGCATGTCTTCCTCGGCCCTCACTCGAGCTTAACCCTTCACTGCCTTCTCTTTCCTCGTCCCACTGGGTGATGACTGCAGTTTGGAAATAGACAGTGGTGCGTCCAGACGCTTGTGGTTGTTGATAATGGAGGGGGAGCTGTCTCTGGCACTCGATGGGGTGGAGGCTGCGGACACTGCCAGACGTCCTGTGCCATACAGGACAGGCCTGTCCCCCAGTGGACCGCTGTCTGGACTGAATGTAGCAGTGCTGAGGCTGAGAAAACGCCTCTAGATGTAACCTAGTTTCTAGACCTTGTCTAATTCTATTGCTTTTATATATATTTAATAAACTCCCAGGTGATTCTCTCTAGTCCCGTCTCTCCTCACGTCCTAGAGCTGTACAATCAACTGCTTACTTGACACGTCTACTTGGAGTTCTCTGAACACGTCAGTATGTCCTCTGTGGAACTCTTGTTTGTTTGTCTTTCCTTTTGAAGAAGAGTCTTAACTGTATGGTCTCCAGATATGTATGTGTCACTATAGCTGGCCTGGTGTGCAGTGCTTGGTAATCTCCTCCATGGGGCCTGCTCTTTGCCCTCTTAGTAGATTGCATCACTTTCTACCCAGTTTCTTGAGCCATATACCTGGGAATCGTCATTGAGTCCTCCTACCTCTCCTGTCAGCCGAGAGCCGGCTGTGCTCTTCCACACTGCGGTACTGACGGCTCCGAGTCTCTGTGTAGACTTTAGAAGAGCCTGTGGAGTCCTCCTTGAGCCTGCTCTTCCCCTTCCCCGTCTCAGGTAGCTGCTAACCTTGCTGGGTGTGTGTGTTCATCCTCACAGGTCTGGGATGGCAGGGACTGGACGGTATCTGGTTCATCTCCACGCCTGCCTCCTAGGAGGTGTTTGTTTCTCGGCTTGCCTCGGTGGGAGCCCGGTCTGACATTCTCTGTGGCCCTGTTTCAGGTCTTTCTGTCTGAGTGGAATGAACACAAAGTCGCTCTCTCCCGGCTCACCAGGCTGGAGATGAAGGATGACTTCCTCCACGGGCTGCAGATGCTCAGGTCCCTCCAGAGCGAGCACGTGGTCACGCTGGTTGGCTACTGCGAGGAAGATGGCACCATTCTCACCGAATATCACCCCTTAGGTTCCTTGAGCAACCTGGAAGCAACACTAAACCTTTCAAAGTACCAGGGTGTGAACACTTGGCAGCGTAGGCTGCAGCTGGCCGCCGAGTATGTGAGCGTCATTAACTACCTCCACCACAGCCCGCTGGGCACGAGGGTCATGTGCGACTCCAATGACCTGCCCAAAACGTTGTCCCAGTATCTGCTGACAAGTAACTTCAGCATTGTGGCAAACGACCTGGACGCCCTGCCCCTGGTGGACCACGACTCTGGGGTACTTGTGAAGTGTGGCCACAGGGAGCTCCAAGGGGATTTTGTGGCCCCTGAGCAGCTGTGGCCTTATGGTGGAGACAGGCCCTTCCAAGATGACCTCATGCCCTCCTATGATGAGAAGATTGACATCTGGAAGATTCCGGATGTCTCCAGTTTCCTTTTGGGGCACGTGGAAGGGAGTGACATGGTTCGATTCCATTTGTTTGATATCCATAAGGCGTGTAAGAGCCAGATCCCCACAGAAAGACCCACGGCTCAGCATGTTCTAGACACTTACCGGAGGGTTTTCCATTCACTCAGAGACACTGTGATGTCTCAGACAAAAGAGATGCTGTGAAGACAGGCCTCTGCGTGATGCTGAACGGCATCCCCGCTGTTCTACTCTTGGCGATGGAAGTGCTTTCATGAACCTTGTGCTTTGTTGACTTTGGCTGTTCAGCCACGCGGGCTCTCCTCAGCATCTGCCTGCACGTTTGTTTGAGTGTGCTCTGCTCTCCTGGCAACCTGGATAGAAGTTTCCAAGAGGGAAAACCTTGCTTTGATGGGCTTGCTAGTGAAGACGCAGACTGTTTGTGGATATGTACAGTGCTTAAAGGAAGGAATAAAACGGTAATCATGAGGACACATTGCCTACTCCGGTAACTGTTCATAGACTGGTAGGATGTATAATTTTTTTTTAATTGTTTTTTTTTTTTTTTGAGACAGAGTTTCTCTGTAACTTCGGAGCCTGTCCTGGAAATAGCTGGCCTTGAACTCAGAGATCCGCCTGTCTCTGCCTCCTGAGTGCTGGGATTAAAGGTGTGCATCACACCCCCATGGAAATGGAAATCTTTAAATGACCACCTGTGAATAAACACACTAGTTCTTCAGAGAACATTTTCCCCTAATTTAAGAAGCCCTGTTGGAAGCTGGGGCTACAAAACTCAGTGGTCAGGCACTTGCTTGGTTCTGTGCAGAGCCCTGGATTTGACCCGTGACGAGTGCACACATCTTGGCTGTCCAAAGTGCTGCCCTTGTCAGTGAGGTCATTGTCCGTGTTGGAGATGACTGTCTGTGAAGCTTCCATGCTGTGACCTCACTGAGGCAGGTGTGCCGTGGCAGCATGCTCTTGAGATTGTGAATGGCTAGGAATGTTGGGAGCAGCAAGAGGAGAAGACTTTACCTGCGTGGATGGTGCTGACCCGGTGTTTCTATGTGAGCATTTCATATCCCATGTCCCTCTTTACCAGAAAGTGCTGAGCCTCCCCTGGGTTTGCGCACACCTGAACACTTAAAAAAAAAACTGTGGAGCCAGGAATGATGGTGCACACCTGTAATTCTAGCACTTGGGAGGCAGACTGGAGGCACTAGGAGTTCAGGGCTATCCTGGGCTATGTACCACAACCCTGTCCATCCATACCACCACCCCCCAATAAAAAAAGATCTCTCCTGTGGTGCTAGCATCCTTATCTTGGGTGACATGAGAGATTTGGTGTGTGTTCATGGTCACTTAGGAGGTGCCTGTCTTTCCCTGAACGTGAGCTGGGGACAGAGTCACAGACGGGGGCCTACCTCAGAATCTGGCCTCTCAAGTCTAGAGTGAAGTTGAAGAGTTTTCATTTGTGGCTGGTTCCCATGCTGCCGCCGCCGATGTTTCCCTCCTCCAGGGACCACCGTTAGAGATGAGTTCCTCCACAGACAGAAGCAGGCAGCATCAGTACTGTGTTGTCTTCTGTAACCTGTGGCTGACTGGGGAGTGAGCTTGCCCAGGGTATCTGAACTATCACTGTGAAGCGTATCGAGTATTCCATTTACTTTGGGTTTGTTGTCTTATAAAGACTCCATTTAACCCACTGGCCAGGAGGTAGAGTAATTGGAATCCTGTGCTGCTAGTGGGAGCCTAACAATGCAGAAGCATGTTGGGAAAACATTCAGGCAGTTAGTTTCTCCGAAAGTTTAAATAGAATTATCACATGACCCAGCAGTTCTTCCAAGTATGCACACAGAAGGGTTGAAATAATGACAGCATGTTTACATTATCCATGAGCGTTGATGGTGCAATTATTGATAATAAGCCAAAGGGGGAAAAATGACTCAAATGATGTCATTAATAAAGTGTATACACACACACACACACACACACACACACACACACACACACGTCCATATAGTGGAATATCATTCAGCATTAAAGAATAACATTCTTCTGCATGCTGCAGTGAGTAATTCTTGAAAACATACTGCATGGAAGAAGCTGCTCAGAGAAGATGACATGTTACACAATTGTATCTGGATCATCCAGGTCTAATACCATAGCAACAGGAAGATGGGTGTGTGTGAAGGATGGGCAGTAGCAGGCAGGACTGAAGGACAGGAAGTGATGGACCGTATCGAGATCACACAGTGGGAGATGTTCACACAACTCCAGCGGCTCTCACCGCTCAGCTGTATTCAGAGGGAAAAACTTAGACCACAAACCTGAGTGTTTCTTGCCCTTTCCCTCCCCGAGGGCAATTGTAGTCAACCTCAGGGGCATTCACGACGGAATGATCCAGAACTGCAAAGTCCAGAGAGGACCCTGAATACAAATGAGGCTGTGAAACACAAAACCCTAACACTTTGTCCTTCATCAGAGGCACCGTGCTCACTTACAGTCCTCTCTGCACCCTAGCGAGGGAGCTGTTGCTTCCCACAAATTCGAAAAAGAAACTTCTGGAGAGAAGTGAAATGTGACTGACAGTGTTGCTCTAACTGGTGAGGTGTGTGTTCTGCTGTGTGCCTGTGTATACTTCTGTGGATGGGCTTTAAATACTCCAAAAGTCTTGGCATGATTTTTTAAAATCCCCACAAAAAATCTATTTTTATAATTGTTTCAGGTATAGAAGGGAGAAGCCAAAAATCTTAAAAATAAATAACTAAACACACATGACTGTGTAGGTGACATTTGTAGGATTCCCCAAAACTGGAGTTACAAATGGTTGTGAGCCACCTGATGCGGGTACTGGGAACTGAACCTGGATCTTCCGCACGAGTGGTAAGCATTCTTGTAGCATCATGAGTTATGTTCTTTTTGTTTTTTATTTATTTTATGCATATGAATATTTTGCCTGCATGTATGTCTGTGTACCACTTGTATACGGTACCTATGGAGGCAAGAGGAGGGTGTTGCGAGCTGCCATGTAGGTCCTGGGATTGAAACTCATGTCCTCTGTAAGAGTAGCCAGTGCTTTTAACCGCTGAGCCATCCCTCCAGCCCCCATGACTAATGCTCTTAAGAGGTCCGTGGAGCCCCATGGAGCTGTGTGGTCTGCCACAGTGATTCAGAAGTGTGTGTAGGTTATATGGCAGCCCTTTGAGTCACTTTGCTGCAGAACTCCAAAAGCACATTATGTCAGTTCCTGTCTTTTCTGGGTTGATGTCAGAGACAACCTTCAGACCCTTGAGACCATCTTCAATGTCTTGATGAATGTGATGCTCAGGGCTCTCTTGGGTGTCCAATCAGTGATCGCTTTAGTAAACATGTGAATAAACTGCTCGGACCTATGGAACCTGCAGGTCTGTATCCCATCTGGTCTTGTTAAGATTTGGGAACCCCAACTACATCTGGTAATTTTTCTCTCAGGAGATACACATTTTCATGGTCAGTCTTATGACATCTGTCAGTTTCCTCCTATTCACTGTTTGTCCAAAGACCCACATCTTTTTTCATTGCCACTTAACTTGTTGTATGCATCATTATGTTTGAAACATTAAATAATAAACTTTAATAGCAATATTATGCGAAGCATAGGAGGTCTAAGGACTGTGGAGAGAGACTCTGAAGGAGAGCATTCCAATGTTTTATAAAACAATCCAACCTTACCCTATGTTTTTCATGTGCCCAGTTAAGGCTCCAGAGACTCAGGGTGGAGGCTAGATCCTAGTCATTTCATTGAATCTCTATGTAAAAACCAGTAAGTATGTCTGTTTTCTGCTGCAGAGTATGTGTACACCGTGAAGCTGTGTCGCTGTGATTGGTATAATAAAAATCTGAATGAGCACTGGTTTCAGGGTCAGGGTACATTTCTTTGGTTCTGGTTGCAGGGCCAAAGTGTGTTTCTTTGGCTGACCCCTTTCCCTACATTGTGTGCATATACTTTATCATAATTGCAAGTTGTCTAAGGTAAGTTTTTATTTCTCTCTGATACTATTTTTCCACATAAATTTTATTGAAGACGTCTAGCCATTCCTACTAAGATAGTAATCACTAATTCCATGGATTTGCCAAGATTCTTTAGAGATTTTGGTGTTTTTTTTCTTTTCAATATTTTAATTTTTTGGATCTATGAGTGCTTAACTACATTTAAGTGTGTACATGCATGCACTGACCAGAAGTGTACAATGCACACAGTGACCAGGAGTGTGCATGTAGATAATGACCAGGAAGGTCAGAAAAGGGAATCTGATCCCTGGACTGGAGTTCAGCAGTTCTAAGCTGCCATGTGAAGGCTTCCTACAGTCCCTAACTGGGGAACCGCCAACTGAACTCTGTGTAACTCATCCCTCCCTTTGACACCTGAGGTTGAGGGTTCTGCTCTATCTGGGCAGAGCTGGAGTGTACACAAGGGGAGCTCTGCAGAAGTTATCACCTCACCTTTAATTCTCCTCAGTGGTTGGCATATCAAGGAGAGCAGGGGGGCAGCCAGAAGCAGTAGTGTCATCCTCCTGTTACAGCCTCTGGTAGCAGCACCCTTAACCCTATCTGCAGTCCTGGAGCTCTTGGCCCTGAAAACCTGAACACTCTCTTAGATTTTTTTTTTCTGGTGTCAGGGCCTGCTTCTCTGGCTCCTTAAAACTTGTTGTTGTTGTCCTTTGTGTAACAGCCCTGCCCATCCTGGAACTCAGGCTGTAGACCAGGCTGGCCTCAAACTCACAGAGACCCACTTGCCTCTGCCTCCCAAATGCTGAGATTAAAGGTGTGTGTCACCCAGCCGGACTAGAATGAGGTTGCACGTTTGTTTCTTTGCGTAGTTGGATTTGTAAGTGAGCCCATCTAAGAAATTAAATAAATGTAATTTCAAAGCTAAGTGCAGCCTGTTTCCCTTCATCTTATTCAAGACTTTCGCATGCGGATATGTGAAGGTCTGACTGAGCATTTCCCCTGTTGCTTAGTGTGATGCTGTCCCAGCGACGACCATTTGGATTGCTCCCGCGATTTTGCACTTAGAAACAATTTTTGTTACAAATTGTGCCTGTCCTCTTTCAAATGTGATGGTTTCTCTGGGAATACAGACGGCAGCGGCAGCGTGGATCTGCAGGGTCCTCGTCCCTGAACACCTTTAACTTCCACAGAAGATTGACAGTAGCCTCTTCACGGTGAAAGGCCGGGACGCAAGAATTTAGAATGTTATTCAGGAAAGGGGTGAGAGTGAATGAGTGGAGGAAGCAAAACCACTTTTCTGGATGTTTCTCCCCACAGGACGAAACACCGCGCAAGAAAACAGCCAGTCCTCACTCCACGGTGCTAGGACTTGGCACTAGCTAGGCACACTTTCCCATGCAGCCGGGGCGGGGCTTAGGAAAGCAGTGGGCGGGGTCTGTGGAGGCGCGGCCCCGCCCTTCCTTGCGGGACAACGGCGGTGACGCCATTGGAGCGGCCGATGACGGGCGGGTCGAGCTCGCGCAGGCGCCGGGCTGAGCAGCGCAGCTCGGCAGCGGGGCCGGAGCAGCGCAGCTCCCCGAGGGAGGCGGCAAGCAACATGGGCGCGGGCCCGGCGCTGGCCGCGCTGCTGCTGGCCGGGTCCGTGCTGAGCGCCACGCTGCTGGCTCCCGGCCGCCGGACGGAGCCAGGTGAGCGGCCGCGCGGGCTCGGGGCAGCGGGGACCGTGCGTGGGCCTGACGGGGACGTGCCCACGACCCCCGGGGCTCAGGACTTGAGCGAGGCGCCGAGTCCGCTCTGAGGTGGACCGCAGTGCCGGCGTCACGGGAGCTGCCAGCCGGGAGCCCGGCCTGGCTTCCCAGGCTCAGTTACAGGCGCCCGGGTTGGGTGCTCAGTCCGTTTCCGAATTCACCAGGAGTAAGGGTGGGGGAAAAAAAAATAATTCTGGGACTTTTCTGGACCCGAAGACCCTCAGGGTCCTGCAACACCGTTTCACAAACTCCTGTGGAGAAGCTAATTTGGCTGAAGGACTGAAAGGAGTGAATTGCCCCCTTTGCGCATTGTTTGGGGTAGGGCCTGCCACCTGGCAAGTTGTGTCGCCTGCCCCTTCCCCGCCATCAACCCCCTTTTCAGTGTGAGACCTTAGATGTGGTGTCTGTGTGAAACACACCCTCTACCTCCCGAACTTTAAAAAAATATTGAAAGAATACAAAGGAATGTGTAAGAATGCAGGATTTTAGGAGCGATTTTAAACATTCGTTCTGAGTTTGGAGTCTGCTCAGGGTGTTTGAACTTTTTGTTGCTGTTCTTTTTGAAGCTTCCGGGGCAATTCTGATGTCCAGCTAGGCCCGAGGGACTCTTGTGCAGTCCTGAATAACAGTAATAATGGCAAGAGCTTTGTGAGTCTAGGACCCACAAGGGAAATAAAAGCATACAACTTCGACTAAAGACAGAGAAATACAAGTACAGTCATTGCGGCCACGAAGGGGATGCTGAAGTATAGAGAAATCATGGATCGGTGCACAGTTAAAGGAAGACCATAAAAAATGAGCGATAGACTAGAGAGATGTCTCCAGGTTTTCTAGACAACCCGGCTTCCATTCCCAGCACCCATATGGCAGCTCACAGCTATATAGACTCAAATTCTAGGGGTTCTGATGCTGTCTTCTGGCCTCTTCCGGGCATCAGGGACTCATGTGGTATATATACATGCATGCAGGCAAGGCACCCAAACACACTTTAAAAATTAACCAGAACAAATGAAAAAGAAAATTATGACAAACCTTAGAGTACTGGGTTTAGGAAATGGATTAAATACGCATCCAACAACTTGCAGGATAGGGAAAGTCATGCTGGACATTTGGGGGACATGTTCAAAGCTCTGTTTTCTGTTTACCAGCTGAAAAGTGAGGGAGAAATCCAAAGGCTGGTGGAGAACAGTCTATGGAGCAGATACGCTTCCTTCTGGAGTGTGGTAACCTAGACATTAGCTGCTAGCTGACTGACCTCCACTTAGATTTGTCTGCTAGCAAGTGATGCCTGCCTGGAGCTGCAGCTGTCTAGGAGACTGAGGCTGAAGGATCCCTGCCTCAGTTCAAGGTCAATCACTGCAATGCAGAGAAGTCCAACTGAAAAACAAAAGAACACTAACATATAAGACTTTTGGGACATGGCACATAATGAGAAGGCTGGAATGTCACAGTACTTTTGAGATTGTATTAAAATCTTTGAAAGACTATTTTAGAGGGAAAACTTTCATGAAAGTTCATTGTCTGGGTACTTTGTAAAATTAAAATAAATAACATCCAAGGCTGACAAAATGTCTCAGCACTAAAAGTGTGTTGTCAAGCCAGAGTGCTTGAGTTCAATCCCCGAAGTCTACATGGTGAGAGGGGAAGCCACCTCAGGCCCTAAATGGTTATCTTTGCGACACCCTAATGTCATCCAGCAAGCTGTGACCTGGACCTCTTTTTTTTTGTTTGTTTTTTTGTTTTTTGTTTTTGTTTTTCAAGACAAGGTTCCTCTGTATTGTTTTGGAGGCTGTCCTGGAACTAGCTCTTGTAGACCAGGCTGGCCTCGAACTCACAGATATCCGCCTGCCTCTGCCTCCCGAGTGCTGCGATTAAAGGCGTGCGCCACCAACGCCCGGCTTAAGATTTTTTTTTTTTTGGTGGACCTCTTGATTGAATGCTGAAGCAGAGAGTTTCTGCCCTTTAGTCTTCTCACTCACTTCCTATGTCTTTCAAATATGCCATTAAAGCTAGAAGGAGATTCAGAGCCCCCACCAGAATAATGAGGTGCAAAAGGTCTCAAGATATTAAGAGGCAGAATGGCCCAGGGGTCTTGCCCATCTTCATATGTGAGTTGGGAGGGAGGGCTATAGTCTGCGTTTATGTTTTTCTTTTACTGCTCTAGTCAGTGTAAGGGGGACTTCGTTACATTATCAGGATTCCAAGATTATAGGTCTGGCAGCTGCCCTTGGCTTTCCTTGGCCTTGGGTTGGAGGCTGCTGGGTGTAGAACTTGGGGCCGATCATCTGGTATCAGCTGTGATTCTGGGAGAGCTGGATGACACCTCCATAAAGGGGCAGGCTGGACTGTTTCTGCATGGTGTAACCCAAGAGAGTGTGCCGTGCTTCCGCTGCTTGTTATCAAATGCTGGTGGGCAGGTTGTGCACCTGACTGGATCTTGGCCTTGATATTCTCAATGAGGTCACTGGACTTTGAGGATGATGGTGTTGCCTGTCAGGGTTTTCATACACATCTGTTTCTTGGTGTCCTCATTTGATGTTTAAATGTATGGGTGTTTTGTCTGCATGTATGTCTATGCCTGGTGCCTGCAGAGGCCAGAGAGGATGTCAGTTCTGGAACTACTGTTACAGATGGTTGTGAGTTGCCGGGTGGGAGTCTAACTAGTGTCTTCTGGAAGAGCATCTAGTGCCCTTAATGACTGGGCCATCTCTCCAGCCTTTGATGTCTCTTTGTTGCCTCCCTGGAGAGAGAGAACTGCAGTCTGCATTTGTAACAAGCTCATAACTAAGGTGGTAAAGTCTAGACGTGGGAATAATAGACTCTTGGTTCAGATCAGTGATTTCATCGAATAGCTGTGGCTGTGGGCATGGGCAAAAGCTGAGAGCTTTGCTCTTCTGCAAAACAGAAAATAACCTTATTATGTGGAGGCTACTCAGTTCGGTACGTGTTACCTCCTCACACACACCCTGGATGTGAGTGCTGCTGAAGGGACCTCAGGGCCTCTGTGTGTGGCGTCGCACACAGGTACATCTGCACACGTGAGGCATCGTGCTGGATCCCACCGCATTCTAGCCTGTAGGTGTTTGGGAAGCGCCTCGCGGATACAATGCTGTTTTGTCTATCACCCTCAGGTGCTTTGTCGTGGTTTGTTTTTGTACTTTTCTTTCTGATCCTTTTCAGACATAGATGAAAAGAGGAATGTGGAGCTGAAAATGGATCAGGCTTTGCTTCTCATCCACAATGAGCTCTTGGGAGCAAGCCTCACTGTGTACTGGAAATCCGAATACTGCTACCAAGTACGTGTTGAATGCATCCTAACCACTTGCTTCAGTTGCGTGCGTCCTAACCATTTGCTTTGGGCCTTGTTGGATGCGCTCTTCTAATGTTCTCAGACCCAAGCCCCGTTCTTGTTCCCCTCCGATTTACAGGGAAGGAAACAGTAGTTTATAATAAAGAACTAGATGGAATATGATCGAGGGAGAATGCTTGGCACTGATTGGTGTCTCTCCCTTATCCTTTCTTTTAAAGAAAAAAAAGTTGTATTTATTTGAGTACTGCTAGGCCACATGTAGCAGGGATTCTTATTAAAATTAAGGTGATTTTGTTTAGTTTTCAAGACAGGGTTTCTCAGTGTATTCCTGGTTGTCCTGGAACTCTCTCTGTAGATCAGGTGGCCTCAAACTCAGAGAGATCCCCCTGCTTCTGCCTCTTGAGTTCTGGGATTAAAGGTGTGTGCCACCACCTCCACCAACTAAGATGATTATTCTTTTCCAGTAATTTCACTTTTGGAAATTTACACTAAAGAAAGAATTTAAAAGAGTAAGAACCTCATGTGCAGATATTTTACACAATATATTTATATGACAAAAATGTGAAGCTACAGTAGAAAAGCTTTGAAGACATAAATACCCATAGTTATTGTAGTTGGTGACACGTGTACATTAAATAGAAATATGTAACATAGGATCCTGTAAATTTAATTGTTAAATAATATTCATTAAAATAATAGAATGCAAGATTTAATATAGGCTGTATTTATTAACTTATGAAAAATTTACCTATGAATAAAGATTGTTCAATTCCATCCTGGCAGTCATTATTTTAATATAAAATGGGTAATTTTTTAAAAATTATTCAAATATTACTTTCTTTTATGAGTGAATACCTTCATGTGGATAATATACAAACGTTTAAGTGAAATAAATTTAAGCATTGGTTAAATGCATTAAATCACTGATATATGAATTTGAGGATATTATTATTATTATTATTTTTTTTTTTGGTTTTTACGAGACAGGGTTTCTCTGTATTGTTTCGGAGGCTATCGGTCCAGCCCGGCCTCGAACTCACAGAGATCCGCCTGCCTCTGCCTCCCGAGTGCTGGGATTAAAGGCGTGTGCCACCACCGCCTGGCTATGAATTTGAGAATGTTTTGATCAAATCTAAAAATTAGTGTTTACCTATAAGACCTCATTTCCTGGAATTATAAAGTAAAAATATTGCAGATCCAGCTACAGCAGTTTCTACCTGGTATGAGTAGCATGTTGCACCCATGTAGTGTCTGGAGTTCTGAAGCGTTCCCAAATTCTGAAGCTGGGGTCGCCGGAGGTTGGGGCCTGGAAGGGCTGATGCCTTTCCTGAAGTTGGGGTTGCCCTAAAATGGTTAATTTCATCTGAATCACTGCAGTTTAGGTTTTTTCAAGTACAAGAAGAGTTAGGACTTTTCTCCTGGATATCGTGTCCCCCAACCACTGAGAGACTTTCGCGACCGCCCACAGGATGAGCTGTGTAGTTACTGTAAAGCACCTGCGTGATGGCACAAGATGGCGGTTTTGGTCCCCAGAACTGCCAAGTGACAGCAGCAGCCACTCTGACACCGTGCCCGTTGGCTCTTGTGTCCACAGTGCACCTTCCAGCCTCTGGCGAACGTGTCTCACAGAGGCAAGCCTGCGAAGCCAAGCGTCGCAGCCGTCCCCGTGAGCACCCAGCACGGGTCCATCCTACAAGTTAACTCTACCTGGGGAGAAACGGCAGCTTGCAGGTCTGTGTCTGCTCATCATCGTCTCACTTGAGTCTGATTCTTTTTTTCCTACATGGCTTTTGTTTTTCCTCTCTTCAAAACATTTTTCATAATCTTCCCGATCTTTGTATAAAAATTCATATCATTTCTTGTTAATGGTGTTAGCAGAGTAGTTCTCAACCTTCCTAATGCTATGATCCTTTAATACAGCTCCTCATGTTGTGGTGACCCCCAACCATAACATTATTTTGTTGCTACTTCATAACTGTAATTTTGCTGCTGTTATGAATTGTAGTGTAAATATCTGATATGTAGGGTAATGATATTCAACCTCATGGGAGTCATGATCCACAGGTTGAGAACCACTGGTCTAGCCCCTTATTTCTTTTTTTTTTTTTTTTGGTTTTTCGAGACAGGGTTTCTCTGTGGCTTTGGAGCCTGTCCTGGAACTCGCTCTGTAGACCAGGCTGGCCTCGAACTCACAGAGATCCGCCTGCCTCTGCCTCCCGAGTGCTGGGATTAAAGGCGTGCGCCACCAACGCCTGGCTCTACCCTTATTTCTTAATGTAACTATTGGCCTTTATTTTACCTTCTTTTTTTTAGGCTGGAATACAAATTTGGAGAATTTGGAAACTATTCCCTTTTGGTACAGCATGCTTCCACTGGAACCAGTGAAATTGCCTGTGACCTAGTTGTCAATGAGAATCCAGTCAACAGCAACCTTCGTATGTATATGTTTCTTTGGTGGTCTGTGTCTTCAAAGTTTTCAATCTTGTTGTATCTGACACTTCATGATGTGTTCACTAATTTAAAACATGGGTTATATATTATCTCTACCATTTATTTATGGGACAGCTGTAGTTTCCTTTTTGGTGCCAGGGATTAAAATCAGGACCTCACATGTACTAAAGTGTTTGCTCTGCCATTGGCCTATACCTAATCACAATTTGATGTCTTTACTGTGTCATAGGTGTATACTAAGAAAATTATGTGACACAGCACCATATTTTGATATTTCTAGGTTTAAGCACACATTTTTTTGTAAAGCACACATTTTAAAAATTCAATACAGTGGAAAGAAACTAGAAATAGGGTAATTCACTGTCACGACCACCTCGACCAGCAAGGAAGACGCGACTCAGGAATCCTTCTCACAAGCAGTTTATTCAGGGCCTTGAACAAATCTTCTGACCCCAGGGAGTGCCCGCCCACAGCTTAAAAAGGCCCTTGGGCGGCCAACCCGGGTAAGCCATGTGGCGACAGCAGATAGGTCCACATACGAGGAAGCAAGCCTGATATCCAGCCTTGACCAAATAAGGAGTTGTTTATCACAGAGAGCACTTGCTATCAGGCTAGCAGAGGCGGAAGCCAGCACCATCTTAAGGGTGCGGCACTTCGCAGCTCTCTACAATTCACTTTCTGTTTGGGGGTTTAGGACATAATGTTTCCTGGGAGTCTTGACACTGACAGCTCCTGAGGTCCCCTCACGGTAAGGGGACATCATTCATTTTCTTATAACTCCACTGCAGAGCATCTGTCACCTCGAGCCCTCTCTGGATATTCCTGTGTGTGATACTCATTAAGCGATAGGAAGGAATCTTTGCATCGTTAGTAAGTTCTATTCACAGAGAGCTAAGAGTGATGTCATTTAAAAGAACGTAGAGCCATTACCAAAGGGGCAGTGTGGGCAGCTTGAGCAGCTAAAATGAGGCCCACCGAGATGGCTCAGCAGGTAAAAGCACTTGTCACCGAGCCCGAGGACCCAAGTTCAGTCCCCTGAATCTCAGGGTAGGAGAGGCTAGGGACCTGTAAGTTGTCCTCTGACCTCCATACACGCCTAGTGCAACATTCATGCATACACACACCAAGGATGAATAAATATAAAAACAGTTCAGAAATAATGAATGTCACTGAAGAAAAATAGCGTAAAAAGTATTAAAACTGCAGAGTTACTAATGAAACAAAGAAGACAAAAATGAAAACAATACTTAAGCTGCCTTTGGAGTAACAGGGGCATTTAATACAGATGGTAATTTAAAATCGTCAGCTGAGGGCCAGCAAGACGGCTCAGCGGGAAAGGTGCTCGTGGCTAGGCCTGACCCTGGAACCCACTCTTTGCTGTGACACCAAATAGACACATGGTCAGCTGCAGGCAGTGCCTCCTTGGTGTGTAGTATGTCACATGGTCAATTACAGGCGGTGCCTCCTCAGTGTGTAGTGTGTCGTGTGTACCTCCTCAGTATGAAAGAGTTATTGGGAACATTGCATGACACTGCTTGTGAAAAAGTTTTAGGTTTATAGAAATGATACAAAATGTTTCTGAATACCCTTTATCTAGCTCTGTGCATGTCCTTAAACTGTACAATCATACTATAATTACACTGTATATAATTTTTGGGACCAGGAACTTAACATTGACATAGCGCCAATCTATAGGCGTTTAAACTTCCCAAGTTGTCTTTTTTTTTTTTTCTTTTTTCTTTTTTTTGGTTTTTCGAGACAGGGTTTCTCTGTATTGTTTTGGAGGCTGTCAGTCCAGCCCGGCCTCAAATTCACAGAGGTCTGCCTGCCTCTGCCTCCTGAGTGCTGGGATTAAAGGCATGCGCCACCACCGCCTGGCCCAAGTTGTCTTTTTTAACATACATTTGTTTATTTATTGTGTTGGGGGTGCCACAGTCCACATGTTGTGGAGTCAAAGGACAGCTTTGGGGATTTTGTTCTCTTCTACCACAGGGCTTCTGGGGTTGAAACTCAGGTTCTCAGGCTTGGTGGCAAGGGTATTTATTGCTGAGCCATTTTCCTTAGTGTCATTTCTCTCATTCAGGATCTAATCTAGGATCCTAGGTCTAATCTAGATGTATTTGGTTGTCAAGGCTTCTTTGTCCCCTCTGCCTTCCTTTGTCTTTCATGACCTTGACGATTTTGAAGAGAACTGGCTGTTTAGTAGACTGACCCTGTCGAATGTTTTCTCCTGAGCAGGTAGAGGTTTTCCGCTGGGGGTAGAAAACTCCCTAAGGAGGAGAGTTGTATTCTCCTCTGTGTGGTGTGACAGGAGACGTGTGAGGTCACAGACCCTCTGCAGGACCCATGTGTGCTATGAACACACTGAAGGACATAGGGATGGAATTACACACATCTGGGGTATAAAATATGTTAGCAAAACAAGGAGAAGGGGCTGAATAGATAGAACCTAGCAATACTATTTTTGATTTGCAGAAGATAGAATCCAAGTCCTTGAAAAATGCAAGGTCAGTGATGTACTGCTGAGCTGCGTCCCCAGCTCCAAGGGAGACAGGCTCTTGATAATAGCAATAAATCATCCAGGAGCTGAGCGATAGGTGTGTTGGGAGTATATCATGCAACGCCCCTGCATGCTCCATTCTTAATAGTTTATACAGCGTTTAACACGAGAATGAGCTTTGCTCATATTTGCTCCAGCTGTCACTGAGAAGAGGGTCATATGATCTCCAACAGCTTTGATGCTTATGATGACATATGAGGACATTTTTTTTTCTTTACAGCTGTAAGTATCGCATTCCTTGTTGGTCTGGCACTCATCATCGCAATATCTTTCCTGAGACTATTACTGAGGTAAGTTGCTAAGGAGAGTATCACTGGGAAACATAGACCCAGAAATAATGTGAGAAAGTGTAATTTGGCCCTTAGTGGACCGTTATGGCATCTCAGGACAGTCACCAAAAGCAAACACATATAGATGGCCATTATTCTTTGTTTGGCGAGTGTTTGTGCATCTGCTGTGTCTATTCAGTCCTGGGCAATTGAGTAAATGCTAACGTAGTCTCTGGGCACAGGCCATGCTAGTGAAGGTGCAGATGGGTTTTTGCCTTCTGCCAACGTGGCTGAAGACGAAGATGCTTTAGAAACATTTAGTTCCGAAAGGGTCTCCTGGATTGTTTTATGCCGCGGACCGCTCTGGCGGAGAGTGTCAGACCGTGGGAGCTCAGGGTCGAAGGTATCAGGAGAGGTCAGGATACGGCGCAGGAAATGACAGACAGACACCAAGAGTTTCAGTGAACTGCTGTAATTTTACTGAAGTTTAAACTTCTCTTATATAGTGATAGGAACAAGGAACTTGACAAGGATAGAAAAAATACAATTCATGTTACAGCTGAATCATGATTTTTTAGAATTTGAACATCTCAGCGAAAAGTTTCCAGCCCCAGATCAGACATAGAATAAGTTTATCTATTAATATAATTATTTGTGGCTTTGCAGTTGGTCATGAACTGGCTGTTCGGTGAATCATGTCTAGCACATCTTTAGAGACAAGTGTCAACTTCCTCTTCTTACATGGACAGTTTTAGCTCCCCTCTGATGTACTTAGCAATGTGTTCTTTAAAGGAATCACATCTGCGATACAAGGCTTCCCACAAATGCTTGCATAAGCAAGCATGCCAATATCTTAAGGCTGGCATCATATTTTCTAAAATGGCTCGTCTCTCCTTTTCATCATAAATACACCATGGTTTCCTGCTTCTACGTAACCATTCCATGAAGTTTAATGAATTCCAAAGAACTCTCTTGCCTTTATGGTTGACCCATCTGTAACCCCGCTCATCATAGCCTCCTGTATATGGTAGGGGCTCTAGGTAGTTTCCATGCTCCGGCACCCATCGTGGCGCCGTCCACCATCTCCCCTTAATCAGATACTGAGTATATCCTCCGGGAAGTGTTCTATAAGGAATTCCCTTCGTTTCACAGCATTAAGGAAATCTCCCAGAGTTTGAGTACTAGTCTTATTGTATCCAGCTTCTGTATAAACAGCCTGGATAAATGGAGGTGCCTCGAGCAGTGGGTTATCCACCTCAGGGCTGGTGGCATTGCCAGCTTCCTTTTTAGAATCTGGGTCAGCCTGTGCTTGGGAAACAGATAGCAAAGTGATTAAATAGATTACGCAGAAAAGCATAAAGAGAACAGAACATATTGCTCGGCAGCGCAGGGATCTTCTGGCGGCTCTCATGGGTCGGGCTTCTCTCCAGGAGACTGCCTGGGGCTCCGCTTCGAGAAGCTCTGACCCCATCCCTTCAGGCGGTTCCCCCCCAGTAGAGCGGCATTCTGCTACAGTTACACAGGGGTTACCGCTGTGGGTGTAGCAGTTTTAGTTAGTAGAGGCGGTTATATACCTTTAGGAGAAGGCTGCCACACTGGGTTCTCCTCCTCTTCTCTCGTTCTGAGTCTTGATGACCCCTCCACTCCATCTTTCTCTGCTCCCTGTTAGCCCAGGAGCCTGGGGGCCAGAGAGCCACACAAGGGCAGCATGTAGCCCAGGACCTTAGCATGGACTGTCTTTCCTGTGGGGGGGAAGCTTCTGACTGAGAGGGCATTTGGCCTTCCTTGACTGGCTAACAGTGATCCTCGTGGGTGAACCAATAGACCAGACAAGAAAAATAGAGCAAACTAGATCCAGGCTGGTTTAATTAATGGACGATTTAATTTATTTTTAAAAAGTAGTGTGTATGTGTTCATGTCTGTCTCTCTGTATGTTTGTCTGTGTGTGTCTGTGTTTGTGTCTCTGTGTGTGTCTGTGTCTGTCTCTGCCTCTGTGTGTGTGTCTATGTCTGTCTCTGCCTCTGTGTGTGTGTCTGTGTCTATGTCTCTGTGTGTGTCTGTTTGTGTGTATGTGTGTGTGTGTGTCTATCTCTGTGTGTGTCTGTTTGTCTCTGTGTGTGTGTGTGTGTGTGTGTGTGTGTGTGTGTCTGTGCCTGTGTCTCTGCGTGTGTAGCCACAGAGGCCAGAGGCATTGGATCCCCTGGAGCTGGAGTTAAGGTAGTTGTGAGCCACCCAATATGGGTGCTGGGACCCAAACTCGGGTCTTCTTTAAGAACAGTATACATTTTTGATGCCCTTTAATCAGCTTTAAAGGAAAGTTCTTTCATGTTTTAAAAGGAAGAAGGATGGTCATTGTGACACCCATGTGGTCCCAACAGTTGGGAGGCAGAGGAAGGAAAATATGGAGCTGAGTTCAGAGCCAGCATTGGCTCCATAGTGAAACTGGTCTTAGGAAAGAAGGGCCGGGTGTTGGTGGCGCACGCCTTTAATCCCAGCACTCGGGAGGCAGAGGCAGGCGGATCTCTGTGAGTTCGAGTTCGAGGCCAGCCTGGTCTACAGAGTGAGTTCCAGGACAGCCTCCAAAGCCACAGAGAAGCCCTGTCTCGAAAAACCAAAAAAAAAAAAAAAAAAAAAAAGAAAAGAAAGGAACGAAGGATGGGAGGAGAGAGAGACAGCATTTTCACATGTTCATCCCGTTAGGGTCTTGGGTCTCCCAAAGGACCACAGACTTCGTTAGTAAGCTGTGTTCTGTAACAAGTCTTTCTCTGGCCCACCATCCAGCTCCCAAATAATGACACAGAGACTTCTTAGTAATTATGAAAGCTTTGCCTATAGCTTAGGCTTGTTCCTAACTAGCTCTTTTGTTTGTTTATTTGTTTTGTTTTGTTTTTCAAGGCAGGGTTTCTCTGTGGCTTTGAAGGCTGTCCTGGAACTAGCTTTTGTAGACTAAGCTGGCTTGGAACTCACAGAGATCCTCCTGCCTCTGCCTCCCAAGTGCTGGGATTAAAGGTGTGCACCACCACCCGGCTCCTAACCAGCTCTTATGGCTTAAATTAGTTCATTTTTATTAACTGTTGTTCTATCACGTGGTACAGTCTCTTTTCCTTCTTCCTGTTTCCTCGCTGTGTCTCCTGTCCCTCAATTCTTCCTCCTCTTCTTTTCTCTCCTTGGAAATCCCACCTATACCTCCTGCCTCACTATTGGCCATTCAACTCTTTATTAAACCAACCACAGCAATATATCTTCACACAGTGTATAAATATCCCACAACAGTGTTCAGATTGGAAGAGTGAAAATATAACGTTAGTTTGGCTGCCTTGAGGGAGCTTATGTAATCCGACCTTCTAGATTTGTGGGCTTTTGAAATTGTTTCATCCCACGTCTAAGAAACCTGACCATGTATTGGTAAAAGGTCACTTGCTGCTTGGGCGTGAACGTTTGACTCAGCGGCTTCCCAGGAAGAAAGTAGAAGTCTCGCTGTTTCATTTCTTTGGAGTCAGGTGTTAGCTTGTCAGTCTTCTTATGATGGGCACGCTGTTCTAATATAGCAGTATGCTTTCTCTTGGTGCTTTCTGTGTGAATGGATCTGCCCCTTCTCTCCATAGAACAAAACTGGGACGAACTATTTGCAAGGAGGAGCCTTTCGTCTTTTCCTCTTGCCTCTGGTAGGTGTCTAGACTGAACGCTCTGGCAGGAGGGGAGCTAAAGGCCGCCCCTTGCCCTATTGGTTCCCAACATACCTGTGTAAGTTAAAGGACATTTCATAGGCCGAGGACGTCCTCAGCCACTTGGAGAAGAAACAGTCAAGCGTTTATTTTTAAGTGTTTCAACTTCTCCATTTGGTGCTTCCTTGAATGTGTCTATTTAATGTCTGCACGTGATGGTGACGTGAGCAGTGCTGTGTCGACCAGAAATGGTCCTGGTTTGTAAGAGGGACTACAAGTGGGGGCATTAGCTGTGTGGATTGTATGTGAGGCTGATGGGAACAGCGTGAAGAACATCTGTAAGCCGGCCGTGTGAAGATAGCAAGGAGTGTTGCTGTCATTTGACATGCGGTGACGGGAAGGCCTGCACAGTGGTACCTCCACCAAGCATGGTGACCTGACCAACCCCAGCTCCACACGGAAGGAGGACAAAGTCCCGTGATTGTCCTCTGACTTCCACACTGTGGCATGTGCACATCTCCCCACATAATAAATAAACTAAGAAATGGAAAATATAATAATGTCATGACTGTGTTTAGAAATGAAATCTTTCTTCCCTCTTACAGATACCTCAATGTTTATGGGTGAGGTGATTTTATGCCTGGGCTTTCTGTAAAGTACTAAAAGGCACAGAGTCAGGAGGAGGAAGTTAGATAAAGTAAGAGTGCCATGTGTGGATATTTGAAGCTCAGTGACTCATTGTGTTTATCAAAAGCAGAGATATAATTTTTTGGGCTTTTTTTGTTTGTTCATTTTGTTTTGTTTTGTTTGTTTTTTTCAAGATAGGGTTTCTCCGTGTAGCTTTGGCTGTCCAGGAACTTGCTCTGTAGATCAGGCTGGCCTCAAACTCAGAGATCTACCCTTCTCTGCCTCCCAAGTATTCTGTTTTTTTTTTTAATGTGTGTGTGTGTGTGTGTACGTGTACATGTGTAGCAGGGACATGCATGTGGATAGGTCAGAAGACACCTCTTGGGAGTCAGTTCTCTCCTACTATATGAGTTCCCAAGATCAAACTCAGGTTGTCAGGCTTAGTGGTAAACATCTTTACTTAGTGAGCTGTCTTGTTGGCTGGAGTTCTTTAGAAAGATGAATGCGCAAGTAGGGATCTCATCTTAAAAAAAAAAATCAACGATTGGATTTACCATTTTGTCAACCATGTAAATGAAGTTTTTTGGTTTTGATTTTTTGGGTTGTTTTTTTTTTTTTTTTTTTTTTTTTGGTTTTTCGAAACAGGGTTTCTCTGTATTGTTTTGGAAGCTGTCCTAGAACTCACTCTGTAGACCAGATTGTCCTCGAACTCACAGAGATCCGCCTGTCTCTGCCTCCCGAGTGGAAGTTAGTTTTTAATTAGGTCAGCCATACAAATAGAAGAATTGGATCATTGCCAACAAATGCTCTCTTCAGCTTGCTCTGTGTACATGTGTGTTTGTATGTAGTTGCAGTCACATAGAGGGTTTTTATATGTAATCACTTTTTCTTGTGTGTTCTGTTGAGACATTCCAAGGTTGAGTAGTCATAGTTGTTGTCATGTGCCCATACTTCAATTTTTTTTATTGTGTATACAGCCTTCTGCCTGCATGCCAGCAGAGGGCACCAGATCCCATTCAAGGTGGTTTTAAGCCACCATGTGGTTGCTGGGAATTGAACTCAGGACCTCTAGAAGAACAGTCAGTGCTCTTAACCGCTGAGCCATCTCTCCAGCCCCCATACTTTGAATTTTAATGGCAGTAAGAACCTTGGTGACAGAGAGCACCGGCATGAGATTTTCATGGCTCTTTGAGTCTCCACCATTGTTCTTATTAATTGATGAGATGACTGAAAACTCTATTTTGTCATTTCTAAAAAACTTTCATAATGTTTATGGACCCTAACTAAGTTTTATGCCAGTAGCTAGTCATTTTGAAAATATTACCATTCAAGAATGAAAACTAATGGAAGGATTTTTTTTTAAACACAGTTTGGATGACTTCAGTAATTGGATTTCTAAAACAATAACTTCTCGAGAGACTGACCGCCTCATTAATTCTGTGAGTTATTTGAATTTACATGTGTTGTCTGGGATGTTTTCCCTATGCTGATTTTCTAACCCAAGGCCTGTGCATTCTAGGCAGACTCTCTCTCTACATGCAGCAACATTCCTCAAAGGACCCATATTCTTCCTGTCTGATGACCCAAATGCTGGGATTATCAGTGTAAATCAGCATCGCCTACATGCTTGCTTGCTTACGTACTTCCTTTCTCCCTCCCTCTTCCCCTCCCTCCCTCCCTCCCTTTTCTCTCTCTCTTGGAGACAGGGTCTCATGTAGATTAGGTTGACCTCTAACTTACTATGTAGTATATAGCTAAGGTTACCCTTGAACTTGTGACCCTCCTCTTGTCCAGACTACAGGCATACGTCATCTTGTTTGGTTATGTGGTAAGAAGAATCAAACCCAGGGCCTCAAATATGCTAAGCAGGCACCTTTCCAGCTGTCCCAGGCCCCTCACCCTATTGTTTTATTTTATTCTATTACTTATTTATTAATGTATGTGTATGAGAGAGACGTGTGGGTGTGAGTGTGCACGCATGTGCTGTGGCCTTCGTGTAGAGCTCAGAAGACAACCTGTGGGGGTAGATTTTCTCCTTCTGTGAGTTCTGAGTGCAGCAGGCACTTTAGGCATGGCCATCTTTCTAGCCCCCAATTTGTGTCCCTAATCAAGAGCAGCCTTGTTCTCAGCTTCTATGGAGGTCCCATACCCATCTTTCTCAGTGACGGTGGAATTCTGAGTGCCTTAAGATATGCAGTTTTCACTCAGCAACCAGCCCTGTTTGAAAGTAAATGAGCCAGAACACCAGTATGAAATGTATAGTTGTTGATGGCCATTATAGTGACTAGACACACTGTTAGCATTTGGACTAATAAATTCTCAGCAGTGCATTCGGTTCCATGCCAGTTCTGGACTACCTAAGTAGCGGTTCGCACCTTGATTTTCTGGTGCAGGGAGCTGAACGCATGGCCTCTCACACAGTAGCAAGCATTCTGCCACTGAGTTCCACCCTCAGCCCCGGACCCTTTTCTTTGTATCACCATCAACACGACTACCAGCAAACTCAGCAAAGGGCATAAAAGTGCAAACAAGGTGGAGAGTAAAACCTCTGAATGGCATCTTTACAAAACCAAATCATCGTTCAAAAGCTTTCCTTACTTCCCCACTCGAATTTCTTTGTTAAAATACCAGATAATGAAGTCTATTCCTTAGCCTTACTAAGTACCCTCTCTCTCCCTTTGGAAGGAGCTAGGATCCCCAAGCAGAACAGACCCCCTCAGTGGTGACTGTCAGCCAGAAGCACGACGCACATCTGCCTCGCCATACCGTCTCCGATGCGTGGACACATTTAGGGGGTAAGTGGGGCTCATAGCGTGGTGGGTCGGGTCCATGTCAGATTTTGTAGCCCATTTTTAGCTTAAAGGTATTTTGCATATTCTTAATTTTCTAGACTGGTGTATGTTGCACTCAGCACTCAGGAGGCTGAGGCAGAAGGACGGCTGAGAATCCAAAGCCAGCCTGGGATGGCTAGCAAATCCCTCTATCAAAAACCAAACAGTTAAAGCAGTGTTTGTGGCCTCTTTGTCGTGATAAGGGGCCTGCCAAGTGTGGGCAGACCTCTTATTTAGCTTGCACAGGGCTCTGAGGTCATTCCCCAGCACCACAAAAACAAACAAAGTGAAACAAAAAGACAAGGTCATCCTGAGATTGGGAGAGAAGAGGAGGAACCAGCCAGAACCAGTTTCTACCAGTGTGTCTGGTGGTCCGGGCAAGTGGCTGTGCTCAGGCCACTCTGTGTCACTGTGTGCAGAGACAAGCAGCAGTTTGGAAGGTATACCAGCCCACAGCTGCACCTCACCTTCGCCGCTAGAACGCCTTGAATAACGAGTTCTCTGATGGCAGATCCACCATCATGTGCCGTACTTGTCATGCTGTACTTGTGGTAGAAGGGCCGAGGCCAAACCCTGACAAAGTAGACAGCTTACCGCTGCCAAAATAAAATGCACACTGTCAGTTCTTCCGTTTCTCCCATCTGAGAAGAACTGACTTCTACCGATAGCCTTGTGTTTCCTTCCCAGCCTCCAGAGTCAGTCCCAAGGACCCGGTTAGATATATGGGAACTGGGTCCTGTGTTTGGATAAGCGGCCCCCATCCAGAATGCTTGGAACCAGAGGCGTTTCAGAGTTCAGAGTGTTTGAATATTAACACTGAGAAATCTTGTGGCTGGGACCCAGGTCTAAGCACAGATTTGGTTTTCTTTCCTGTGCCTCATGTGCATGACCTTAGAGTGATTTTAGACAGGACTTTTACTGTGCCTATGGGTTCTTTGTTTGGTTTTGTTTTCGTCTTTTCTTTTGGAGGGCAGAGTGAGACGTTCTGGGATTTATGGCAGCCTCCACTCGGGGCAAACAGTGCTTTACCACCAGCCAGCACCTGCGTGTTTACTATGCGCAGACATGACAACAGTGTGGCGTTTTCCACCTGTGATATCATGGACACATTTGGTATTTTAGCTTATTTCAGGGTTCAGAGAAAACAATCCCAGTGTATAAAATTCATAACAACCATGTAGTTCTCTGGGCCATCAAAGCTCTAACTCATCTTATTTGAACTCTTTTTTTTTTTTTTTTTTTTTTTTCGAGACAGGGTTTCTCTGTATTGTTTAGGAGGCTGTCCTGGAACTTGCTCTGTAGAACAGGCTGGTCTCGAAGTCACAGAGATCCGCCTGCCTCTGCCTCCCGAGTGCTGGGATTAAAGGCGTACGCCACCACCGCCCTGCTTATTTGAACTCTTAATAATACTATGAAATGTACTTGTCACAGATGGAGAAATAGAGCTACTGAGTTAAATAACTTTCTCAGCCACTGAGTTGCTAAGTTGGGCTGTGTCATAGACAGTTGGGTCACCAGGCACAGGCAGGTTAGTCTCTCAGCCTGCCAGCATGTCCCTTCTCAGAGTAGCACCAAAGGTAGCCTGCTCAAAGTCCATTTGAGTGTATTCTTTTTCTTTCTGTCATCGTAGACAGTTCAAACATAGACAGAAAATGGCGTTAAATACCTAGAATGTGCCTAAGAAGAAAGCAAGACTCGAGTTTTGGACCCTTAGTTTTCTGAGTCCCAGGCTTCTATCTCTTCTATGAAGACATAATAAATAAAATAAATCTGAAATACCCCCAAATAATTTTTTGCATTACTGGGGATGGGAGAGGGAGCTGGGATTGACATGTGAATTATTCATGTTTCTAATTTAAATTAAAAAATTTTTTTAAAAAGTTGCATTACTGAATACATGTTGCTTTGTTTTCAATTCACAAAATCCAGTAGCATAAGCAGGGTGAGGTGGCACAACGTTTAATCCCAGCACTCAGGAGGCAGAAGCAGGCAAATCTCTGGGAGTTCAAGGCCAGCCTGGTCTACAGAGCGAGTTCCAGGACACCCAGGGCTACACACAGAGAAACCTTGTCTCAAAAAAAAAATTGTGTGTGTGTGTGTGTGTAGAGAGAGAGAGAGAGAGAGAGAGAGAGAGAGAGAGAGAGAGAGAGAGAGAGAGAGAGAGAGAGAGAGAGAGAGAGAGAGAGAGAGTGAGTTTGGGGATTCCTGATCATGGTATACCTATGGAGGTAAAAAGACAGCTCACAGGAGTGAATTCTCCCCTTCTCCCATGTGGGGGTGTGGCATGTAGTAAGTGTCTTTACCAGCTGAGCCATCTTGCCAGCTCAAATACAAATTTTTCTTGAGCTATTGTTAGAAATGTTGGTGGCAGAGCATCATCATGGTGAGCACCAGATAATCATATCTGAACCTTCCTACCCATGTCATAAACTGCTCTGTCGAGCCACGTTATTGTGACATACCTTGTCTGAAAGAGAGTCTGTACTTGAGGGTTTGTTCTCACCGCCCTCCCTTTGTTTGCCTTACAGGATAGCTCTCATCCTCATGGTCTTCGTTAATTATGGAGGAGGAAAATATTGGTACTTCAAACATTCAAGTTGGAATGGTGAGCTACTAGTCCCCCACCCTGACCCCCAGAGAACTTTGGATGGGAGGATGACCCAGCATTCCCTGTGGGCACTCCACCAGGGCCCTCCCAGCTTGTGCAGAAGCACTCTGGCTTACTTGGGGCCCTTTGGTTTTGTTTTTCCATGGATCTAGAGTGAGACTGGATTTTTCTGCTGTGAGATTTTGGTCTCCACAGGAAATGTGAAAGAATTGGTTCTACACGATCATTGTTGTGGTCTAGATAGTAGAGCTACTGTATTCTTGAGAACTCTGCCTTCTAAGATTTACAGTCTTACTTGGGGTGCCACCTACAAAGACTAGTATGAGTGGCACTCAATAACAGATATAAATCTGGGTGAGTAGTTGCTGGACAATAGGTATTTTAGAACCAGAAAAATGACACGGAGTACCTGATCATTACAGACACAGACTTTTGAGAACTTTTAGTTGTCTTTATTCTGGCCAAATAGAATATTTTTCTTTTGTAAAAATAAACATTATTTTACAATATGATTCTATAATATAATTACAGAATATTTTTCATTCTGTAAAAGTCCCGGAAGCCTCTAGAAGAGAGTATACTGTGTTTGACCACTGTCACCCAGATTCTGTGTATGGATGACTGAGTCTACAGCTGATGCAGCTCAATACTCAGACATAGAGTCCAGACACTTGTAAGACTTGAATTGTGCTTAAGTATTTAAAACAAGAGTTATCACTTCTTGTCCCTTTGGCTATGGTCAAATATAAGACAAAATTCTTACAAAATAGCTCAGCAGGTAAAGGTGCTGGCTGCCAACTTGAGTTCAGTCCCCAAGATCCATATTGTGAAAGTTACTCCTGTAAGTTGTTCTCTGATCTACACGTCTCCTTATCCACAAATAAACAAAGTTAATGGAAGGATTTAAAACGAGAGTCCTAGCTCCCACTCATACCTAAACACCAGCTTCTCTCTTGTGTGACCGAACAGTTTCAGTTATGTTCCTTGTTGGGCACTCTGCTGGATGACGTGGAGTGTCTGGCAGAGGGAGAGAATAGGTTTTTGACTGGTATGTGACACTGCGGCAGTGTCACAAATTCATCCACAGACTTCTAGTGTGACTGGTTTATGATCAGGGAACCCTCCCAGCCCCAGGCCCAGTGGCTGTATGTGGCTCCTGTCTGTGTAAATACTCAGTGCAATGTTCCCATTGGGAAGTATTTATATACTAGAGTTCTCTTTCTTACCAATGTTCTTTCATCATCTTGCAGGACTGACGGTGGCTGACCTTGTCTTCCCATGGTGAGCTGACAATTGCTATATTGCGGGAGTTATACACATTAGTGATTAACTCCTGTCATCAGCAATGCATTGGTGATAAGAACAGAAAGAGAAAAGCACTTCCTTCCCCTTGGAGTCCTTTTAACCACAAGCGAGTCCAGACTTGAAATCTCTACTTCCTCCATTGCCTCCCATCTCCTTGACTGCCTGTTGCTTGGGACTGAATCTGTGCCTGCTGGAAGGCTGTGTCTGACTGTTGTATGACTGTACATTCTGTGTGTGGGTGCTGTGTGTCTCCCTCACAGAGGGCTTCACTCTGCACTTGAACAGCACAGAGAGCGCCAATGGGGAAGGGATGGGACACTCTTCAGAAATCTTTAGTAGAGTTCTACAAGGGATTAAGTCACTGGCTCCACTGACCCCAGACAACAAACGTCATTGCTTATCAACCAGTATTCATAACTGGTTGCTTTCAACTTCTGTGTTTGCTGCTTTCGGCAAATGAGATGCATACATTATCTGGGCCAGAGGCACGAAAGAGTACATAATTTAAGATTAAAACCATGTATTAGCTTAGGTTATAAGGGTGATTCCATGGGAAATCCAAATCAAGCAGGGTTGACTGTCATATTGTTCTCTTAAAGATAGAGTACCCAGACAGGCTGAGTGCGCAGTAGGACAACAGTCTTTAGTGACCTCAAGGTGTATTATTAACTCAGCTGTGAGGTCCAGCAGGAGTTCCAGTCTCTTAGGACGCAAGAGGTATTTCATAATATTGCATGGCCACTGCCTGCCGTCGGCTCTTCCACAGATCATCTCCCGTCCTTTGTCTTTGAAAGGCTGGGGCCCCTCTGTGACCAGTTCTGGATCATGAGCCTGCATTTGCTGTTGTGAAGTCATGCCAGAAGTTAGGGGACTGGGTAGTTGGTATACTTGACATCATGCTTTTGCATGTGTACATAAAAGATGTCTGACATTTGTGTGTCCGCATGGGGCTGGAGACTGACACTGAGACCTTGTGTGCGCTAAGCATGTACTCTGCCACCCAGCCAAGTCTCAGCTCCAAAGATGAATGGTCTGGCATGAAACATCTTGTTAGAACACGTATCTTCTACTTGATGCTGAAATCCTACCATAATCCCTGAACTTATAGTCAAGTTCCGTTCATTTCCTAAATATGTGAAATCATATTTCTTAAAAATTGGTACGGTAAACGAGTATCTGTGAATACGGATAAATACCTAGCAGGAAATGATAGTTGTAAATTAAAATCTAATATGGTAGTAGAATAAAAACATCTCCTCCCTAGTGGATGCTTGGCCTTGTCACGGCATGTTTCCCATTTGATGCACCATTTATGTTTACACGGATGCGTGGAGCCATCTGAGTGCTCGGTCACTGGAGATGGCTCCAGGAGAATGTTTCCCATGTTGGAACGCTGGTGTGGTATTACTACCATAGACTCCAGGACTGGGGAGAAGTGTTTGTTGCTTTGAGAAGATTTGGACAGGGCAAATATTTTTTGAGATCTGGTAATGATTTCAGCATACAGCTTCTCCCTTATTGCTCTATGAGACAGATAAATCCTGGAAGGGAAGCCAGGGGACTCTGAGAGGCAGCCAGAGCAAGCCACATTTCCCTAACACTGAGCCAATATCTAGGAAGAATGTACTGTGGTTTTGTATTGGTTGCTGTTCTCTTCAAAGGGACAAAATATCTCACAGGAGCAACTTAGAGAAGTTACTTTAGCTCAGGGCTGCATGACAGTGGAGGAGGCAGCTTGCTCACACTTGGCAGCAAAACAGGAAGCCAAGTCTGGTGCCAGGAACGGGCTGCTGCAGTCCTCTGGCCCCACCCTGCGGTACTCTGCTGACCAAGTAGTCAGAAGGCCCCGGGATCTCCAAGACACCACCAAACGGGAACCTACTGAACATGTGAGCCTGTGGACAGCTCACATCCAAAACACCACCAAACGGGAACCTACTGAGCACGTGAGCCTGTGGACAGCTCACATCCAAAACACCACCAAAAGGGAACCTACTGAGCACGTGAGCCTGTGGACAGCTCACATTCAGTGTTTTTTGTTTTGTTTTAAGGGAGACTGTGTGCTTAAGAAAGGAAAAGGAAATATGTGCCATGTGACTCCTACCAAATGTGAGAGAGAGAGAGAGAGAGAGAGAGAGAGAGAGAGAGAGAGAGAGAGAGAGAGAGAGAGAGGGAGAGGGAGAGGGAGAGGGAGAGAGGGAGAGAGAGAGAGAGAAGCTTTTTTCTTTCTTCCAGGAGAAGGAATGACTTGCTAAAAGATTTGAATGTTTTGTTTCTGAAGGACTTGGACAGTGTATTAACACAAGCCCCTTGGGTCCCAGTGTCCACAGCTTTTCTCTCTGATAAATGCTTGCAGGATTATCCATGGAAATCCCACTTACTATTAGCCAGTTTTCCTCCTACAGCAGGCCTTGAAGATGTTCTGTCAAAATTCCCACCAGCAGGGCTGCATTCATCTCCCTCCCGTATTATGAGCCCAGCACTGTTTCTGTAACTGGCTGCTGTGGATAGATACTGTGTCACCTCTCTACAATAAGATATCAAGGGCACATGTATAAAAACTGGAAATGACCACCTACCAATAACCTTTCTTTTTAGGTTTGTGTTTATTATGGGATCTTCAATTTTCTTGTCAATGACTTCTATCCTACAACGAGGATGTTCAAAATTCAGACTGCTGGGGAAAATTGCCTGGAGAAGTTTCCTGTTAATCTGTATAGGAATTATCATTGTCAACCCCAATTATTGCCTTGGTCCATGTAAGTATCTCTGTCCTTTGTTTATATAGAGTCAGGTTGAACTATGGAAAAGACTTGGGTTTTGTTTTTGTTGTTGTTTTGGTTTGGTTTTTCGAGACAGGGTTTCTCTGTGGCTTTGGAGGCTGTCCTGGAGCTAGCTCTTGTAGACCAGGCTGGTCTCAAACTTACAGAGATCTATCTGTCTCTGCCTCCTGACCCTGGGATTAAAGGCGTGCACCACCACTGCCCGGCAAGACTTGTTTTACATATATATATATATATATATATATATATATATATATATGTGTGTGTGTGTGTGTGTGTGTGTGTGTGTGTGTGTGTGTGTGTGTAAATATATATATATATATGTATAAATATATATTCAGTGTTTGGTATCAAACCCAGGCCCTTGCACATGCCAGACAGCTTTTTGCCACTGAGCCCCACATGTTAAAATCTAATGTAATTCTTTCATCCCGGATCCCTCCCAAAGGATGAATTATTAGAAGAGTATGTGTACTGCTTGAATACTGTTGGGTACTGTTACACTTAGCTTGAAAATTTAGTAATGGGTGTCTACTCTGATTCCTGTGATATAAAAGAAAAGTTAGACTGAGTGAGGTTGAAGTGTTGTTTCTGGGTCATGTCCATGTGTTCATTGACAGAGGAGAAAACGACCAGGTCAATTTGTTCTCATACTCTGTCTCTTTTGGGTCCATGGACTATTAGTGTTGACTGTTAGTTTAAGAATCCATCCTTGGGGCTGGAGAGATGACTCAGTTTAAGAGCACTAGCTGCTCTTCCAGGGGTCCTGAGTTCAATTCCCAGCAACCACATGGTGCCTCATAACCATCTATAATGAGATCTGGTGCCTTCTTCTGGCCTACAGGTATACATGCAGACAGAACACTGTATGCATAATAAATAAATAAATCTTAAAAAAAAATCTGTCCTCACCCGTGTGCCAGCTGTGCTACTGAGAAGGGGACACTTGTCATTGCTTCTGTCCTCTTCAGTGACACCAGATGGTGAAGACAGGATGTGAGAGCCCTTGGTTGGTACCTGTTGCAGACAGGAAGGCGGCAGTTACTGTCCCGGGGCTTGCCTTGTCTCTGGCAAAGGAGAACAGATACACACCAGTCAAATCCAGCCCTCAGGCAGTGAGTGCCTTTACTGGAAGCCTAAGAGCTTAGACCAGTGGTTCTCAACTTTCCTAATGCTGTGACCCTTTAATACAGTTCCTCATGTTGTGAACCCTGACCATAAAATTATTTCATTGCTTCTTCGTGATTCTGCTACTGTTGTGAATCATAATGTAAATGTCTGTTTTCCTGTGGTCTTAGGTGACCCCTGTGAAAGGGTTGATCCTCCCCCAGATTGAGAACCACAGGCTTAGAGACTGGATTCTGCTGAGGTGTTCTTCCCAACCTCAGGGGCAGCCACTACAGGGTTTGCTATAGGTTCTCTCCCCAGGATACAGCCCGTAACCTATTATAGGTGGTGAACAGTGGTTTGGTTTGTTCTGCATGTTTCTGGTAACATGAGAGTTATATCCATATCCCTAATAGGTGAGGGTTGGAGCTGGATTCCATGCTACAGGGAGTCCCTGCTTTGTCCCCCAACTGAGTTAAGTTGGCTCGGTGCTTGTTTACAGAGAGTATGTGTCCCCAGCCCATGTGTATCCTCGAGCTATGATAATTTACTTACGAGTAATACAGGCATGTCTCCCCTGCAGGAGACAGCACTGTCTTGGGGTAAGGTGGATCCTGCTGGCTTAGCCTTCGGTGACTTGTGTCTTTGGCAGTGTCTTGGGATAAGTTGCGGATCCCTGGTGTCCTGCAGCGGTTGGGAGTGACATACTTTGTGGTCGCTGTGTTGGAGCTCCTCTTCTCGAAGCCTGTCCCTGACAGCTGTTCCTTGGTGAGAACCTTATGTGTGTGTGTATGTGCGGGGTGGGGGGGGGCAGACTTGGTCATTTATCAGGAGTTGTTCACTTTCTTTTTCAGTCAGGGTCTCTCACTGCCTGGATCAGTTACAGTACACTACACTAAATTACAGGACCACACCACACATCAGCCCTCCTGTGTTTGTTCTGGGCTTGGACAGATAATTTTTTTTATTCTACTATAAAGGCCAAAACCCAATCACTGGCTTTTCCCATGTTCACTGTTGCCTCACGTGAGCTGTTCTTGCCCTGTCAGGAGAGAAGCTGCTTTTCTCTTCGAGACGTCACTTCCAGCTGGCCCCAGTGGCTCATCCTTCTGACACTGGAAAGCATTTGGCTGGCTTTGACACTCTTTTTACCTGTCCCTGGGTGCCCTACGTAAGTGACCCCGTGCCAGGTAATCCCTTTGTGTGTGTGGTGCATGTGTGTGCATGTGTGTGCATTGTGTGCATGTGTGTGTATGTGTGTGCATGTGTGTGCATGTGTGTGCATTGTGTGCATGTGTGTGCAGTGTGTGTGCATTGTGTGCATGTGCATCTGAAGGCTGGAGGACAGGTGTTATTCCTCAGTTGTCAATCCTTTCTTTTGTGTGACGTAGAGTTTGCCAGATAGGCTGGGCAGTGAGTCCCAAGACTCCACCTGTCTCTACTCTCCAGGGCTGGTATTACAAGTGTGTGTTACCATGCATGTCGTTTCTTACTTCAATAAAAAGTGTTGTATGTGTATGAGTGTTTTGCCTGCATGTGTATCTGTGTACCATGGGCACACAGTGATTGAGGAGGCATTGGATCCCTGGATTTGGACCACCATGTGGGTTCTGGGAATCAAACCCAGGTCTTCTGGAAGTGCTCTTAACCACTGACCTCTCTCTCTAGCCCCAATTCATGACTTGACTGGGTTGCTTTCTTTTTCTTTCTCCCTCTTTTCTTTTCCTTTTGTTCTGCTAAGTTAGAGGTGAGGCTCTATAGCATTGAAATTTCTCTAGTCAGAGGAATTCTCTTTCATACTTTCTCCTCTTTGAAGCTGTCTTTACACAGAGAGGAGGGTTGAATTGTCTCAGAATCACCCTGAGTAAAAAGTGGACCTCTTTCCAGTGATGGGGGCTGTTGTCCAGTCAGATGGGTCCGGGGGTCAGGGCTGTTGTGGCCTGTTTGTATGTGAGGCTCTTTAAACCTGTCCCCCATGGATAGCCACTGTTCAGCACTATCCCTTCTGCGGTCCTGTCAATTAAGTGTGCTTCTCACTTCCTTAGTGGCTACCTTGGCCCTGGTGGTATTGGCGACTTGGGGAAGTACCCTCACTGCACTGGAGGAGCCGCCGGCTACATCGACCGCCTACTTCTGGGAGACAGTCATCTGTACCAGCACCCATCCTCCACTGTGCGTGCGTGTACCTTGCTTTTCCCTGGGAAGGACGCTTGAGCCAGTCTGACACTGTTTAAGGACAGTGTGGTGGAACCGTTGTTTGGAAAACTGGCTGCATTCATGCCACAGGTGTTCACTGTGTTGGTAGGGAAAGGTATTTTTGATTGTGGAGAGAGAATGAGCCATATAAAATAACAAGTGGTATTTTATTTAGCTCTTTGGATTTCCAGCCCCAGACTCCGAGACAGGATATGTGTGGGGTGTCTCCATTGAGTTAGTCGCTGTGAGGAATGCAGCTGAGGGAGTTGAGCTGCTCATGTCTCCTCAAGGCTCTGGTTAATCTGTGAGCTGAGGTGGCATTTGAGAGCTCTTCTGCACCGGGTGAGCGGTGGGTCCCTGTTTCTTGCTGGATGGGGATTGTCCCCAGCACAGGAGACTTTGTTTGGAAAGGCAGACAATTCCCACGTTTTCTTTTTTCTTGTTTCACATTGCTGGGCTCCAGCTCAGGGCCCAGTGAGCTGTGCCCACCCTGCAGCTGTCTTTAGTGAAGGACCCTGGACGAGTTCTTGACTGAGACCTTTCAGCAGCTGACACTTCTTTCTTTTTGTTTCTTTTTGTTTGGTTTTTACGACACAGGGTTTCTCTGTATTGTTTTAGAGGCCTTCAGTCCAGCCCGGCCTCGAACTCACAGAGATCCACCTGCCTCTGCCTCCTGAGTGCTGGGATTAAAGGCGTGCGCCACCACCACCCGGCCTGCCGCTGATATTTCTCATAGCTGGGGACAAATCTTTCAGGCCTTACAATGGTTAAGGATACACTATACATCTCCAAGTTCTAGAGTCTCATTTTTATGTTAAAAATACAAATGTTTTATTTTAATTGATGAATTTTTTGGAATGTTAGACTTTAAAGTATGGGCCTTCTAAATGCTGAGCAGATTCTTGGCCCCTAGGCCACTCCCCCTTCCCAAATATATTATTAAATGTTAGGTGCCTGAAAAAAAGGTTAGGAGCTGTTGAAGCTCAGTGGGGTCAACTAAAACAGAATGAGCTTGTAATTCCCGTCCTGTTAGGCCTTTGCATGTTGTTAAACGAGGTCCAGCACTCTTTGCCAGACTTGATAAGGTGGCTGAGCAGGATCATGGCTTACTTTGCCTGTGATGCTTATAAATTGCCCATGAATTTCTGCTGTAAAAGCAAAAAAAAAAAAAAAAAAAGGAAGGAGGGAGGGAGGGAAGCAAGCAAAATAAGAAAGAAAGAAAGAGCAATGGTTGAAATGTCTTCAAGTTTGCATTCCCTCTGAGACTTGTGTGCATTTTTGTGTTTAGTGAGTGACTGCCACCCTCTTGTTCTGTTTTGTTAAGGTCCTTTATCACACTGAGGTGGCCTACGACCCAGAAGGAATCTTAGGGACTATCAACTCCATTGTGATGGCATTTTTAGGAGTTCAGGTATTGGTTCCTTTCATTGGGCTATCCTTTTCTGACATTTTGTGACAACTGCTAGCAGCATAACTAGAAGTCACCTCACTGTAATGAGGGAGTTGAAGGAGGCCCTCTGCTGCCCCACAGCTCTCTAAATTCTGTCTAGGATCAAGATCCCATAAGCTAGGGTGGGATAACTCAGCAATTCAGTTGACTAGCTGAATCCTTACACTCTGGAACCTAAATTCTTACTAGTTGTATGTTTATCGTAGCCCAGGAGTCTGTGGATAATGAGTTCCATTAGTGGCCATATTTATGTTTGTCAACTTCTATCTCATTGGCCCGTTGCATTCCTTCTTGTATCCCCAGTGTCTTGCATCTGTACGTAGCAAATAACTCTATGTGCTGGATAGTTGATGGATGAAAAGAAACCTGGGTTCATCTCGGGTGACTCTCTTGATCGTACTGTTTTCTTCTCCAGGCAGGAAAAATACTACTGTATTATAAGGATCAGACAAAAGCCATCCTGATGAGATTCGCCGCCTGGTGCTGCATCCTTGTAAGTGACCAGCCTTCCTCACTCCCATTGTGTTCATAAGACTGGCATTTATTAAGAAGAAATGAGATGTTGAGCAGCTGCTGGCTCAGCACGATGGATGTTTCACTTGAATAACAGGATTCACAGAATAGCATCTTTTAAAAAAATCATTCTTATTTTTTTTCCTGAGCTTGGAGCCCAGGACCTGGTGCATACCCAATGCACACTCTTCCACTAAGGTACAGTCCTAGTGCCAGGAAGGAAGACATCTTTGTATCTAAATTCTCAGACTTATTTTCTTAGAAAATTGTATTATATAAATAAATAAGAGTGTCTGGCCGGGCGGTTGCGGCACACGCCTTTAATCCCAGCACTCGGGAGGCAGAGGCAGGTGGATCTCTGTGAGTTCGAGGCTGGGCTGGACCGATAACCTCCAAAACAATACAGAGAAACCCTGTCTCGTAAAAACCAAAAAAATAAAAAATAAAAAAAAAATAAAAAAAGAGTGTCTGCCATCAAACATCAGTGAAGACGGCTGGGGGAAATGTGTAAGTGATGCTCTATATGAGAAGCCTTACAGAAAGACTAGGCAGGGATGGGGTTGTAGTTCAGTAGAAGGCTTAGCATGTGTGATACCCTCAGTTCCATCCCCAGCAGCCCCTAAGACTGGGTAGGTGGCATGGGTCTGCATTTGGCACGAGGAGGCAGAGGACCCAAGATCAACCTTAGCTATATACTGAGTTTGAGGCCAGTGTCTCAAAACAGATACGTGTCTCAAAAACAGAAAAATTTAAAAAGGCCTGGAGGGATGGCTCAGTGTTTAAGAGCACTGGCTGCTCTTCCAAAGGACCTGGGTTCAATTCCCAGCACCCACAGGGCAGCTCACAACTGTCTGTAATCCCAGTTGCAGGGTCCAACACCCTTACACCGACATATGTGCTGATACCTTGCATGTACAAATAAAGCTGTCTGAGGGTCAGAGAATGAAGCATGCCACTAGCCAACCATAGGTCTGTACAGACAGACAGGAAGTGAGGTAGCTGGGCAGAAACAGGATATAAGCAGGGAGAAACAGGAACTTGCTCTCTTGTCTGCTGAGACGCTAAGGAGGTGAGGTGTGCTGTGACTTGCTCCTTCTCTCTGATCTCTCAGCATTTCCCTCTATATCTGACTCCAGCTTTTTATTATCTAGACCAATTAAGAACTTAACTCCATTTACAGACATACATGCAAGGCAAAACACCAATGCACATGAAATGAAAAATTAAAAAAAAAAAGAAAAAGAATGGATATTTAGCCAGGCGGTGGTGTGCATGTCTTTCATCCCAGCACTTGGGAGGCAGAGGCAGGTGGGTTGCTGAGTTCAAGGCCAGCCTGGTCTACAGAGTGAGTTCCAGGACAGCCAGGGCTATACAGAGAAACCCTGTCTCAAAAAACTTAGAGAGAGAGAAAACATAGTGGAAACAACCAGACAAACGATAGTTTTAAGGGCAGGAACATCCCAGTTAAGAACATGAGATGTGCCTGGCTGGCTGTTCTTTTCCCCAGCCTCGAGGAGCCACATTCTCTTAGGAGGAGGTGTGATTTGTCACTTACCTTCTCTGACTCAGAGGACACGGAAGATGGTTTTGGATAATATTTTAGTTACACATCTTACAGTAGGTATCCAGTTAAAAGAGCACACTAAAAGGTGTGATTTTTGGTCCTCGCTAGCAGTAACTATTTTTTGTCTCCATTGCAGTGTGCTTTGAGACTATATTACTGATCTTTAGCATCTTCTTTTCTTCATAGGGGCTTATTTCTCTTGCTTTGACAAAGGTGTCTGCAGACGAAGGCTTTATTCCAATAAACAAAAACCTCTGGTAAGCATGGTAGAGGGTACCACGGTATTGTTATTTCTCTTGTTGAAACCGGGTGTTCCTGGGAGTGCAACAGCCTCCCTCCCTCATCTCCCTGTAGGTCCTCCCTCGTCTCCCTGTAGGTCCTCCCTCATCTCCCTGTAGGTCCTCCCTCATCTCCCTGTAGGTCCTCCCTCATCTCCCCTCATCTCCCTGTAGGTCCTCCCTCGTCTCCCTGTACGTCCTCCCTCATCTCCCCCTTCTCCCTGTAGGTCCTCCCTCATCTCCCTGTAGGTCCTCCCTCATCTCCCTGTAGGTCCTCTTCTCCCTGTAGGTCCTCCCTCATCTCCCCCGTCTCCCTGCAGGTCCTCCCTCGTCTCCCTGTAGGTCCTCCCTCATCTCCCTGTAGGTCCTCCCTCCCTCATCTCCCCCGTCTCCCTGTAGGTCCTCCCTCATCTCCCCCGTCTCCCTGCAGGTCCTCCCTCGTCTCCCTGCAGGTCCTCCCTCCCTCATCTCCCCCGTCTCCCTGTAGGTCCCTTTCGTACGTCAGCACATTGAGCTGCTTCGCCTTCTTCATGCTGCTCGTCCTGTATCCGGCTGTGGACGTGAAGGGGCTGTGGACAGGAGCTCCATTCTTCTACCCAGGTAAGTCAGCTGTAAGGAATCTGAGCAGGGAGAGACCGGCTCAGTGGGGCCCTGAGCTTCCTCAGAGGCGAAGCCACTGTACTGGGGACATGTGTCCAGGAAGCTGAAGAGGAAACCAGCAGGGGCTGTGCTGCCCCAGCTCACAGGTCCCAAAACACTGCACCCTGTTTTTACACATTTGGCTTCTAGAGTCAGCAAATACATTTCGCTTATTTTCAGGTAGTATAAAATAGTGCAGTACTGGATACAAACCAGGACATGCTGTTTTGTTTTGTTTTGCTTTTTTGTTTGTTTGGGTTTTGGTTTGGTTTGGTTTTTGAAACAGGGTTTCTCTAGCCTTGGCTGTTTTGGAACTTGCTCTCTAGACCAGGCTGGCCTCAAACTCAGATATCCACCAGTGTCTGTCTCTTGAGTGCTGGGATTAAAGGTGTGCATCACCACTGCCTGGCTGACATACTGTTTTAAATAAGAAATAGGATTGTACTTCCTTTTTTCTCTGTGTGTGTGTGTGTGTGTGTGTGTGTGTATGTATACATACCCACGAAAGTGCCTGTGATGTGTACCAGAGTACAACTTGCAGGGTTCAGGTCTCTCCACCTGAGGCTTCCCAGGATAGAACTGAGGTCATCAGGCATGGTGGCAAATGCCTGTACCAGCTGAAACAGCTCGAGGCCCTTGATCCCTATGGGTGCAGAAGCATATTTCACACTTAAATAGCTAGGCTATGCATCACTTATTTGGGGTTGTGGGTGATAATGCCAGTGCGTGCTTTACATGTTTTGAGTTCATCTAGCCAACTCTGTGAATGATCAGGAAATAAACATGTCTGATCTCTCTAAGGGATGAACTCCATTCTGGTGTATGTTGGTCATGAGGTGTTTGAGGACTACTTCCCCTTCCGGTGGAAGCTGGAGGACGACCAGTCACACAAAGAGCACCTAATTCAAAACATAGTCGCCACTGCTCTCTGGGTGCTCATCTCCTACGTTCTCTATAAGAAGAAGATGTTTTGGAAAATCTGACAGCATTCACTGACGTGTATTGCTGGAGGAGTCCAGCGGCCCTGGGAGCAGGGTGTAAACAGCCTTTTAAAGGGAATCCTCCCGCACAGAAGGGACGTACTCCCAGATGCTGTGTCCACGCTGATTTTCTTACAGGTCAGAAATCTGCATGTATGTTTTTTACTTACATATTTACAGATTTGAAATGTTAATGCTCCTTTTCTTCATTTTCTATGAAATTGGTATGTTTGGGACATGTGTGGAAATCTCCTTGAACTTCCCAGAGGGGATTTACTATGGACATTTTGCCTCTGTAATGAAGGCCAAGGTTGGTGAGCTGGTTTGACTCAGAGGTAGAATAATTTCCTAGCTTGGAAAGTTCGATCCCTGGCAAGACAATCAAACGGGCAACAACAAGAACACAAGAAAACCCCAAATAATTGAAGGATGAATTCTAATCTCCTGAAAACTGCCTCCCTGTGCATGCCAACAAAAATACCGTGGCTTCTGCTGTGAGACTTACATAAAGCTTTTTGAATGGACTGTGTCATAATGTCTGATTTTTTTAAATAGCATGCACCTTAATGTTTCTAGAAAGGCAAAGTAGTTGGCTTTCTGATTTTCAGGGCTTTGATGAACCCATAGAATGCATTATCCGAAGCTACTGACTTCCTTCCCCACCTGGCGAAACCTGAAGTATAGATTTATTATTGTCAGCTATTCTTGTTGTGGCTGTACATGTCCTCCTACTATTCACCGCTGCCTGCCTGCCTGCCTGCCTGCCTGCACGGGCGTGTCTCCGGAAGGTACCCAGAGATGTAGCCGTGGAAGGAAGAGCATCTGCTCTTGCTGTGGGTTCTCCTGAGCTGCCTCCTGTGTAAGGGCGTGGCAGTCCCCTGGCCTGTCAGAGCTTTGCTTCTCTCATCTGTGGAAGGAAAGATGGGGTGCTCCGCCAGGTCTCCCCAGTGTTTAGATGTGATAAGGTGGGAGTCCATCAGCAGCTTCTCTGAAATCTTCACTGTAATCTTACAGAAAACCCTGGAAAAGGAATAGTAGCAAAACCATTTACAGCTCCATCGGAACAAATCCAATGGCTGTGCACAGTTTCACAGAGGTGCAGGTGATAGACAACCCTTGTGTGCTGTGCTTGCAATTCCCTCCTGGGGATTCTCTGTGAGTGTTGCATATTTACGGAGAGTTGTGATAGAGTTGTACTTTAGGCCACTCTTCTGTCACGACCTGGGGACATTTCAATTACTGCCCATGCATGTATGACTTTTGAGCCCCTCCCTTATACATTCCCGTTTTTAAAATACACATTTAATCATTGCTAAGTCTCAGTTCTGTCTCCATCTCCCGTCTCTGCCTGCTTCATTCTCCCTGTTACAACCACTGTTCTAGTCTAGATGCTTTCCTGATCTACATCTGAGACTGATCTACTGCCAGCAAATTCCACTTGACAAAGCAGGAGCTGGATCAAACCACCATCTTGTCCGGTCGTTTGTGCCTGAGCTATCTCTGCCTGGTGTAGCCCTCTTCATTTGATCCCAGCACCCTCTGGTGTTTGCCCATCTCCTGCACAGCCTTGCTTGTTGTCACACAGCTGCAACCCTCCCTCCCGCCCTCCTTATTGTCATCTTCCTCTTCATTTCTCCCCACCTGGATTTGATCTGTCATTTAAAATGCTCCATTTCGGGAGCACCACCTCTAATCCTATTCTCATTCAGAGCTGATATCTTCTTCGGGGTTCTCAAATGTGATATTCATCTGGTGGCATTAATTGCTTCTGCCTCATATGGTGGTTATTTTTCTTTTTATTGTGATTTGGTGACAAGAACCACACATTCTTCTGCATCTTCGTGGTACCAAATGCACGGCCTTGAACTTAGCAAGTGCTAAATAAACATTTAATAAAACAAAACAATGTGGTTGGGTGTTTTTTAAGACTTTAATTTTTATTTGTATGTGTATAGGTGCACATGAGTGGGGTGCCTGCAGAGTCTAGAAGAGGGCATTGGATCCATCTGGAGTTGGAGTTACAGGCAGTTATGAGTCACCCAGTGTGGATGTTGGGAACCAAACCATAGTCCCCTGCAAGAACTGTGAGCACAAAACTAACTGCTGAGCCATCTCTCCAGCCCACTTTTGTTTTTCAATGGTTTGACTGCTAGTTAAGTTGGTATGTCCAACAGAGAGTCTCCTGAGAATGCTGACGTAGCTGTTAAAGGGAACAGGCGGCTTTGCAGGCTCCTGTTGCTAACAGTATAGCTGGCCACAGCTGTGCGGGAGACTGTCCTATAGAAATGCATTTTCCCTCATTTGCCTGTGTTTCCCAACCAGCTATTCTTGTAGTTTTCATGTTTGTGGTCACATCCTCAATGTTGGACCTGGTTTTTCCTTGTGCTTGTCTGGTGACCTGGTTCCTGTGATATTGTTGCCCCAACAGACCTTGGAGAAAAGGTAGTTTTGCTACCAAAGCAAATCACAAGTGATGCTTTTCCACATCATAGTCAGCAACGATGGACACTGATATGACCCAAGTAAGGAAGAGAGTCTTGTGGACACCATGGTGAGGGAGAAAAGCAGCCACATTCTTTGATACAATATCACAAGAAAGGTCTGTAGGCCACTTACTCTTCCCTCTGAAACTCCTTGAGTTGGGTCCCCACAGTCCAAACTGCCCTTAGCACTGTCTTTCATGCTCCTACAAGGATGGCCCATTAAGCCCCACCTAAAATGTTCAATGGCTTTCCTCTCCAAAGTCCCAAAGTCTTCCAACAAACATTCTTCCAACGAACAACACAGTCAGGTCTATCACAGCAATCTCCTTGCTCTTAGTACCAACTTCTGTCTTAGTCACTGTTCTATTGCTGTGAAGAGACAGCATGACCAAGGCAAATTAATGAAAGGAAGCATTTAATTGGGGCTTACGTTCTTAGTTTGGGTTACTGTTGCTGTGATGAAAGACCATGACCAGAGCAGTTTGAAGAGTAAAGAGTTTATTCAGTTTATGCTTCCACATCATCAAATGAAGTCAGGAACCTGGAGGCAGGAGCTGATGCAGAGACCCTGGAGGGTGCCACCTACTGACTTGCTCCCCATGGATTTCTCAGCCTGCTTTCTTACAGAATCCAGGACCACCAGCCCAGGGATGGCCCCACCTACAATGGGCTGGCCCTCCCCCATCAATCAAAATTAAGAAAATGCCCTACAGGCTTGCTTGTCTATACCACAGTCTTAGGGAGGCATTTTCTCAAATGACTCCTCTCAGATGAGTCTAGCCTGTGTCAAGTTGACATAAAATTAGCAGCACACTTATAGTGTGCTGTTATCATCATGGCAGAAAGCGTGCTGGCATGCAGGCATGTCCAGGAGTACTGAGAGCTACATCCTGATGGAGGCAGGGAAGAGAGAGAGAGAGAGAGAGAGAGAGAGAGAGAGAGAGAGAGAGAGAGAGAGAGAGAGAGAGAGAGAGAGAGAGAGAGAGAGAGAGAGAGAGAGAGAGAGAGAGAGAGAGAGAGAGAGAGAGAGAGAGAGAGAGAGAGAGAGAGAGAGAGAGAGAGAGAGAGAGAGAGAGAGAGAGAGAGAGAGAGAGAGAGAGAGAGAGAGAGAGAGAGAGAGAGAGAGAGAGAGAGAGAGAGAGAGAGAGAGAGAGAGAGAGAGAGAGAGAGAGAGAGAGAGAGAGAGAGAGAGAGAGAGAGAGAGAGAGAGAGAGAGAGAGAGAGAGAGAGAGAGAGAGGAGAGAGAGAGAGAGAGAGAGAGAGAGAGAGAGAGAGAGAGAGAGAGAGAGAGAGAGAGAGAGAGAGAGAGGACAGAGAGAGAGACAGAGAGAGACAGAGAGAGGAGAGAGAGACATAAACCTCAAAGCCCACCAACTAAACCACACCTCCTGATCCTTCCAAATACTGTCCCTCAGGTGTCTAAGCATTCAAATATATAATCCTATGGGAACCACTCTTATCCAAACCACCACACTTAAGTTTGTTGCTGTTTGGTTTTTTCAGTATTATTTCCTTAAACACAAACACCTCACATTGCTATTCCTTTTGTCTGAGCCATTAACCCCTTCCTGTTTGGTATACTTATTAGTCAAGTGCATAATCTAATTTTCTTACATTCAAATGATCATTCAAATTCAAATCAGACGTTTTATTTTCCAATTTTGTTTTTAAATTATTCATTTATACACTTTTTATACTTTAATGTTCTTTAGTTCATCTTTTATATTTTAAATAAAAAATTATTTTATATTCCACTTAAAATAGCATAGCTTAGTTATCCTTTCAGAACAGAATGCTACATTAAAGGACCATTAATTTTCAGGAAGTAACTCAAGTCTGACAGATTGAAGCTGCAAATGTATCCTTCTAATCAACCGGCGTGCAACCTGATAGGGAAGTCACTAGTACACTGTGCCAAGAATTGGAATGCTGTACTAAAACCGTGAAGCGTCACTGACTGAAATGTAAAATTCCCTGTACAGAAACACTGGGATAATTATGAAAATGTAAGTAATCCTTTGCAAAAAGCAATTGAGCAAGAGACCCCTTCGGTATTATTATACATGTTTGCATGTTTTCTTCCATAGTCAAACTATTAAAATGTTGTTAGACACAAAGAAATGCTGTCATTCTCCCCAGCAAGCTGTTGTCCTCCCACAAAGAGCCTATGTGTCTAAGAAATTTGAAAACGTGGGTATAGCAAATATTTTTTAAAGATAGAGTCTCTCACTATATAGCCCTAGCTGTCCTGGAGTCCAATCTGTAGACGAGGCTGGCCGCAAACTCAGAGATCGTTTGCCTCTGCCTCCTAAGTACTGGGATTAAAGGCCTACATTACTCCAGCTGACCATAATAAACAATTCTGTCAAGCAAACAGGAAAAAAAAACAGGCAAAAAGAATGCCATTTTGTGCATCCCACCACACCCTGAGTCCCAAGACCTATCTGCTTTTGAAGAACTGATTCTGTCGATTTTTTCTGCATCTATTGAGATGATCATGTAAATTTTGTCTACAAGTCCATATATGTGGCTTATTATATTTATTGACTTGTGTATGTTGAACCATCCCTGCATTTCAGAGATAAAGCCAAGTTGGACACAGTGTATGTTTGTCTGTATTCTGTTTGCAAGTATTGACTATTTTTGAGTCTATGTTCATTAGAGATATTGACCTGTAGTTTTCTTTTTTTGTGTCTTTATGTGGTTTGTGTATGAGAGCGGTCCTGGCTTTGTAGAAGGATTTTGGGAGCGCTCCGTCTGTTTCCCTTTTTTCTTTTTTGAATAGTTTAAGAATTGGCTGTAGATCTTGGAGTGTTGGGTAGAATTCTGCCGTCACTCCATCTGTCCTTGAACATTTCTTTTAGCTAAAGGCTTTTTATTGTGTTTCAGTCTCCTCATTTGTATGGGTCTGTTTAGATTGTTGGTCTCTTCTTAGTATGATTTTGGTGGTTTGACTGAAACTAGAAAAGCCTCCATTTCTTTTAGACTATCCAGCTTCATGGAGTACAGGCTTCAGAAATATTCCGATAGTAGTCTGAATT